TCACATGGAACCTGGGTCGGCCATCCCGTAACAAGCAGGACCAGCTGTTCACAGAACACAAACGCACTGTAAACAAAGTCTGCTTCCACCCCACTGAGGCCCATGTACTGCTCAGTGGTTCCCAAGATGGCTTCATGAAGTGCTTCGACCTCCGAAGGAAGGATTCTGTCAGCACTTTCTCAGGTGAGGCCCACAGAGGCAGAATGGAGTAGGTGTATGTCTCTGCAGGCACTTGACCTGTCCAGACATTTGCTCTGTGCATTGGACTGGGTGGATCAGCAGAGGAGGTGTGAGAGCAGACCTGGGTGAAGTGTGAACCAGGGGAATGATGGTGAGAGGCAGGATGATCAGGAATTGAGGCTAAGTGTGGCACGATGGAGAGCAGAGCATGAGGGTTCACAGCTCAGCTTGGGTGGCTGATTAGTTCCACTCAGTGTGTTACTTCCCTTTCTCACCTCACCAGGTTCCCCTTATTATAGGTAGTCTACCAGGACTCGAGGGTTCTCAGCCCAGGGATGCAGAGGAGGTAGAGTACACTGTTTAGTTCCCGCAGGGCCCTTTTCCTAGCAGGCCCAGCTCCTAATGTCCAGCCCGGAGCTAGCTCTCCTTTGTCTACCTTGGTGATACCAAGTGAAGTACAAAGCAGAGCCCTGGGGCATCGGAAAATTTGTGGGCAGCTTCTTCTTTTTATATTTTATTTTGAGGCAGGGAGGGTCTCACAATGTAGTCCCAACCTGTCTTGAACTCACTGTGTAGCCCAGACTTGTCCTAAGCTTGCAATCTTCCTGCCTTAGCCTCTCACCACACCCAGCTTGGAGGCATATTAAAACAGGTCTTGCTCAACGTGGTGCTGCACACCTGTGATCCCAGTGCTCAGGAGGCTGAGGCAAAAGGATCGCCACAAGTTCGAGACCTGCCTGCGCTACATAGTGAATTCAAGGCTATCCTGAACTACATAGTGAGACCTTTGCTAATAAAAAAAAAAGAAAGAAAGAAAAGCTCCTGAGCCGCCTGTGTGTCAGGGAAAGCCTAGACACTGTCTTCTGAGGCTCTTGGGTAGACCTGGTCACTGAGCCCCTGGTCTTTTGGGGTTGACCATGCAGCTCCAGCCTGAGGTAAAAGAGTTGGGCAGGCCAGGGATTTAGCTCAGTGGGTTCACTGCCTGCTGCGCAAGTGCAAGGACCCAAGTTCAATCCCCGGTACCCGCCCCCCCAAAAAAGAAAAACGTTGGGCAGAGTCTGAGGTACCCTTCTCAGTAACTCCCACAGGACGTTGGTCCTCAGGAGACTTGGAAAGCCAGGTAGGGCTCCTGTTCCCCTACTGCTCATATATGGCCTCCTGAGGGTGGCCCATACCTTTGCCCAAGGAATAATATAAGATGCAGAATTCAGGGAAAATTGAGGCTCTGGAGTTTGTGCAGAAACCACCCAGTTGTGTCCTCCCTTTTCTAAGCTTCATTCACACATTAGATCTTTGGACTGCCCACTTTACCCTCTGGGCTTCCTGGTCTAGCCATAAGCAGGTGTGAGACACCATTCTATAGCCATTCCAAAGGCTACTTCCACCCCAATGGGTCAGGCCCCCTTACCTCTACCTCCAATGACACCCTGCCTGCAGGCCAGTCTGAGAGTGTGCGAGATGTCCAGTTCAGTATCCGAGATTACTTCACATTTGCCTCCACCTTTGAGAATGGCAACGTGCAGCTATGGGACATCCGCCGTCCTGATCGATGTGAGAGGATGTTCACAGCCCACAATGGGCCCGTCTTCTGCTGCGACTGGCACCCTGAGGACAGGTATGGTGGTGTGGTGAGGGTGTGTGGGGGCAGCCAGGCTCAAAGAAGTCTCACTGACTTGAGACCTGTGAGGCAGAGTATGGGGAGCACAGAGCTGGGGGTGTCCTGTCTTCCAGAGAGGTCACTGAGGGCTTGGATGGGGCTTTCCTGCAGGGGCTGGCTAGCCACAGGCGGACGTGACAAGATGGTGAAAGTCTGGGACATGACCACACACCGTGCCAAGGAGATGCACTGCGTGCAGACCATCGCCTCAGTGGCACGTGTCAAGTGGCGGCCTGAGTGCCGCCACCACCTAGCCACATGTTCCATGATGGTGGATCACAACATCTATGTGTGGGATGTGCGTCGGCCCTTTGTGCCAGCTGCTATGTTTGAGGAGCACCGTGATGTAACAACGGGCATCGCCTGGCGCCATCCCCATGACCCCTCCTTTCTGCTCTCTGGCTCCAAGGACAGCACACTGTGCCAGCACCTGTTTCGCGATGCCAGTCAGCCTGTTGAGCGTGCCAACCCTGAGGGCCTCTGTTACGGCCTTTTTGGGGACCTGGCCTTTGCTGCCAAGGAGAGCCTGGTGGCTGCTGAATCAGGACGCAAACCTTATACTGGTGACCGGCGCCATCCCATCTTTTTCAAGCGCAAGCTGGACCCTGCCGAACCCTTTTCAGGCCTTGCCTCCAGTGCCCTCAGTGTCTTTGAGATAGAGCCTGGTGGTGGGAGTATGAGTTGGTTTGTAGACACAGCTGAGCGTTATGCTCTGACTGGCCGGCCACTTGCTGAGCTCTGTGACCACAATGCCAAGGTAGCTCGAGAGCTGGGCCGAAACCAGGTAGGTTGGGTTGAGCTGAGGGAAGACCAAGGGCATTGACCTTAGGGCAGGGGTTGGCTGCTCTGATGGCTGTACTACCACCTGCCCCAAGCTGAGGGCTTGGCTTTGGTCAGTCCTACACCAGCACTTGCACTAATAACTGAGGGTGTCAAGATCATACAGGGCCAAAGTGGACCAGATGGGAAAAGTCTGGGAAGTCATGTGGCTGAAGCCTCACTTCTGTCTCGCACTTGGTGTCCAACCTCCCATGACGTGTGGCCCTGTAGAAAAGCAAGAGCTGCCTCCTACGTGCCCTCTCTTGGTCTTGTTGGCCCTGTTGCTTTCTCTGCATTGGCTGCCTCTTATTCTGTTTTCCCTGTGCTACTGTAAGATAGAGACTAGGGTTTTAATTTTTCCCATGGGCCAAGAAATTGGGTCCCCAGGGCAGTTGAATGCTGGTGTGTGATTCTATGCAGGCAGAGGGGCTCTACCTGGGGTGCTGGGTGTCCAGGGCCCTGTAAATTGCTGGTACCTGCACCTAGGTGGCACAGACGTGGACCATGCTGCGGATCATCTACTGTAGCCCTGGTCTGGTGCCTTCTGCCAACCTCAACCACAGTGTGGGCAAGGGCAGCTCCTGTGGCCTGCCCCTCATGAACAGGTAGATGCTCAGGGTTGGCTCTCCCAGACAGTGGGGGTGGTAGAGTTCAACCACTCATGAACCTTCCCTGCCCCCAGTTTCAACCTGAAGGACATGGCTTCTGGGCTAGGCAGTGAGACAAGGCTGGATCGAAGCAAAGGGGACACACGAAGCGACACAGTTCTGCTTGACTCCTCTGCCACACTCATCACTAATGAGGGTAGGCTAGAGGGCAAGTAGGAATGCTGATGGGAGTGGGGTTAAGCAGCACACAGTGAGCCACTCCTTGAATGACCTCCCTCCCATACTGGGTAGATAATGAGGAAACTGAGGGCAGCGATGTGCCCACTGACTACCTGCTCGGTGATGTGGAGGGTGAGGAGGATGAGCTGTACCCATTAGACCCAGAACATGTACACCGTGAGTAAGGGCTCTAATTGGGTAGGGGTTTGGGCAGGGTTCGGGTGGGGGGAGTGGAAGCCCAGGCCCACCAGCTGGTTCCTGCCTCCCAGCTGAGGAGCCTGAGTACGTGCTGCCACAGGAGGCCTTCCCATTACGCCATGAGATTGTGGACACACCGTCTGGGCCTGAGCACTTGCAAGACAAGGCGGACTCACCACATGTGAGTGGCAGTGAGGCAGATGCAGCCTCTTTGGCACCTGTGGACTCCTCCTTCTCCCTTCTCTCCATCTCACATGCACTGTATGACAGCCGCCTGCCACCAGACTTCTTCAGTGTGCTGGTGTGCGACATGCTGCACTTCTATGCTGAGCAAGGTGATGTGCAGATGGCTGTATCCGTGCTCATCGTGTTAGGTGAACGTGTACGAAAGGACATCGATGAACAGACCCAGGTGTGTGTGATGGAGCAGGGGTGGGCCTCCCTGGAACACCTGGTGCCCCAGCACCATCTCTACATATTGCGGACAAACCCAGACTACTGCCTCCTAGTGTGAGTCCAGCCTTTTTCCAGTGTCCTGCCTCGTGCCTGGCTGTCCTAACCTGGCTCCATTCCCTCAGGAGCACTGGTACACATCATACATTGACCTACTGCAGCGGTTCCGCCTCTGGAATGTGTCCAACCAGGTGGTCAAGCTGAGTACCAGCCAAGCTGTAAGCTGCCTCAACCAGGCTTCCACCACCCTGCATGTCAACTGCAGCCACTGCAAGCGGCCCATGAGCAGCCGGGGCTGGGTCTGCGACAGGTGGGGCTGTGGGGTTAGGAGCTTGGGGCCTTTAGGCAGCCCAAGAACCCCAGCTGAGGTGTCTTTCCATCCCCAGGTGCCACCGCTGCGCCAGCATGTGTGCTGTCTGCCACCACGTGGTCAAGGGCCTGTTCGTGTGGTGCCAGGGCTGCAGCCACGGCGGCCACCTGCAACACATCATGAAGTGGTTGGAGGGCAGCTCCCACTGTCCTGCGGGCTGTGGCCATCTCTGCGAGTACTCCTGACCTGTGGTCTGCAGCCTGGGTCGGCTTCCTCAGGAGCTCAGCGGAGGCCCGTCAGGACTAGAGACAGCCTCCAGCCTGCCTCTATGCTGGCATGAAGGGGGGCTGGAACTTATGAACTAAATAAAAGGCAGTTGCTGTCGGACTGTTGGCAATTACTCCGCGGGAAGGAGGGCAAGGGGTTCTGGCCGGGTCAGTATCGTCATAGTAACTACAGTAGCCAATAGCAGCTCAGTGTGCTCTTCGCGTGTCTACCGGAACTGCTTCTTTCGGGGCGGGCTGAAGAAGGCCGCTTCCGGGAGCGGACCCGTTGCCACGACGACAGAGCTACTGGCCATTGGCTTGCAGGCAGGGAGTTCCCGGCGTGCTGCGCTTCGGCGGCGGGCCATGGCTGTGGGGGTGCGGCTGCCTATGCTGCTTGAGCTCTGGCTGCTGGTGTTGGCTCGGCTCTGCTCGGAGGCAGCTGACGGCGGGGGCTGGTGAGCGGCGCAGGGCGGGCTGGAGCGCGGGGATGGCGTGGGGCGGAGGGCGAGCCATGCTGACCCTATGTGTCTCCAGGCGGCAGGCTGGGCCGGGGCCAGACGTAGCCGTGGAGGAACGCTGCACCGTGGAGCGCCGCTCCGACCTCACCTACGCTGAGTTCGTGCAGCAGTACGTGTGCCCTACTCTTCCACCCGGGTTCGCCGGCATCAGAACGCTAATGCTCTGGCCCCCTTCCCCAACCTTCAGCGTGCGTCCGGGCCATGGGCGCACATGACCTGAGCTCGACGTTGCCCTTTTTTCCCCCAGCTACGCCTTCCTCAGGCCCGTCATCCTACAGGGACTCACGGATAACTCGGTGAGTGCTGAAGCCCATCGCGGGCAGCTGGCCCTGCTCGCTCAGCTGCTAAATTGCCTCCCAACCCCCGCAGAGGTTTCGGGCCCTGTGCTCGCGAGAGAGTCTGTTGGCTACCTTTGGGGACCACTTGGTTCGGCTCAGCACCGCCAACACCTACTCTTACCAGAAAGGTGAGCTGCCCCATCTCTTCAGGGCTTGCCTGCTTGCCAACATCCTAAAGGTAGAACCAGCTGGTTCTCACTACGTGCTTTCCCACAGTGGACCTACCCTTCCAGCAATATGTAGAGCAGCTGCTACATCCCCAAGACCCTGCTTCTCTGGGCAACGGTAAGCTAGCCTTGGGCAGCAGTGGGAGTGGGGCACCTGGGTGTCCCAGGTGCCAGGATCCCTACCCCTTATTTTTCCTGTTGACAGATACTCTGTACTTTTTTGGGGACAACAACTTCACAGAGTGGGCATCATTATTTAAGCACTACTCCCCACCTCCGTTTCATTTGCTGGGAACCACTCCTGCTTATAGCTTCGGAATTGCAGGTGTGTTCTCCTCAGGATCAGGAGGTATAAGGTGGCCAGTAGAGAATAAATTTAGTCACCATCTCATCACTGACCCCACAGGAGCTGGCTCTGGGGTGCCCTTCCACTGGCATGGGCCTGGATTCTCGGAGATGATCTATGGCCGTAAGGTTAGCACATGGTAGTGATGAGGCTTGGGGTGTGCAGATTACAACACAAGAGTGACTTTACAATCCTGCCCCCAGCACTGGTTCCTCTACCCACCTGAGAAGACCCCCGAGTTCCACCCCAACAAGACCACACTGACCTGGCTTCGGGACACATACCCAGCCTTGGCACCATCTGAAAGGCCCCTGGAGTGTACCATTCAGGCTGGTGAGGTCAGTAGCTGGCAGGAGGGAGCCTTACCAGGCCAAAAGTTCCCCAACTAAACCCTGTGCTCCCCTCCCCAGGTGCTGTATTTCCCTGACCGCTGGTGGCACGCTACACTCAATCTTGACACCAGTGTCTTCATCTCCACCTTCCTTGGCTAGCCAGAAGAGGCAGGCCCACACACACCAGGATGTGCCCATGTACTGGTCACAAATTTTATTACAGGAACAGTGGCAGCAATGGCAGCTTCAACCCAACCCACCCCCATCTGCTTTTCCAGCCCAGAAAGAAGACAAGAGGCTCACGGCCTGGCAAAGGCTATGCTGAGAGGGGTAGCAGTCCAGAGCCCACCAGCAGAACTGATGGGGGCAGGCACAGCGACACAAATTATGTACAGGAACTGGGGCTTCTGCCTCAAGACCTTCCTGAGCCAGGATTATCAAGCAGGATGGAGCAATGGGCCTCAGTAGTCCTCCACCCAGCCGTTCTCAGAGATGAATGCGTCAATGACCTCCTTCATAGCCAGATTAGGGATGAGCTGTTCCTGGGTCAGGGGGCTCCGGGTCACAGGATCAAAGTGTCCCACACGCTGCAGTGACAACAGGGTCAGAGTGCTCCATGTGTCAGTCTGTGCCTCCAGCCCTGGTTCTGAGGCTCTTGGCCCTTACCTGCAGATGCTCCTCAATGTCCTTTCGGTCATAGGTGATGCCACTTGGTGTGATACAGGGTTCCCTCATCAGCTCGAAGCTGATCTTGCCACACAAATAGTCGGGGATATCTCGCTTCTACAGCACATAGGGACAGTGTCAGGAACCAGGAAAGGAACACTGCTTCAGCACTTGCTACTCACAACTTTCAGAGAAAATGCTCACCTTTCTCTTTTCATCTACCTGAGAGAAGAGCTCATCCATGTCCGCCATGTATTTATCCTGCAAAGAATTGAGTACTGTGTGTGGGCCACCTGAACATTCTTCACACTTAGAACACACATACCAACATGAACCAGGGCACTGTTACCATAGTACCATAGGGACAGATTCACCTGTGGGCCAGGGCATCCTCAGTTACATGCACGCACACACACACAGACCCTCATGTGGGCCTAGGGCACCCTCACGTGCTTGGCCTCAATGCAGGCCTGCTGGGCTCGGATATGGCCATCATCCTCGTCACCCTCGTGATTTCGCTGACATTCTTCCAGCTCCCTGAGGATCGACCAGGAGCTGGTCAGAGATGAACCTGGCCAGGAGATCAGAGCCCACTCCCACCTCAAGCTCTTCCCTGTCAGCTTTCTGTGCACCCATGTCAGCCTTTCAATAAACACTTGTATTGGTTACTCAGCTTAACCTGTGAGAGGGTGGCCTGGTAGGGGAGGGGCCCACCTCTCACGCTCAGCAGTGATGAGCCGAGCGAGGTACGAGTGCAGCTCACTCTCTTGGTGGATGCGCCGCTCTTCAATGCTGTTCCAGCGCTTCTTCTTGGCAATACGAAGAGCGCTAGGAATGTCATCCCCAAAGTTGAGCCGCTGCTCTTTGGCCAGGCTGTAGGCTGGGAAAATGCAGTTGTTAGGTCACACTTGGGCTGGTCCAACCTCCTAGACCAGTATGCCCTGTGACCAGACAACTTGTCACTTCACCTCGTTGCAGATTGGCAATAGCCTCGTCGTAATTCTCCATCTCCAGCTGGCACTGCCCCAGGAAGAAGTGCGCCTTCACAGACTGTCCGTCCAGTTCCAGGGCCCGCCGACAGTCAGCCAGTGCTTGTTCAGGCTGCTGCATTTTCAAGTAGCACAGAGCTCGGTTGGTGTAGTACACTGCCACCAAGGGATTCCGGGTCTGGAGACAAAGGTCAGGTGGTGTGAAGATGTGGGCTCGGCCATTCTCTCTCACACCCAAATACCCCAGATTCTGTCCCAGCTTGGGAGCTGATGGCTGGAATGAAAACCTAGAAGTTTCTCAGTTGTCAACGCCGGAATCCTGGCTCGGCCCACTCTCAACTTCAGTTGATTTTGTAAGGGGAAGTTCCTCAAACCTGTACGGTTAACTTTGGACCTAGGGTCCTCAAGGGGCAGGAGTACGCGGCCTCCAGCCTAGCCAGCCCTAAACATTTCACCCGTTCATCCCACCTGCCAGTTCCAGGGCGTCTAGCACGGACTCCAGAGCCGCGCCCGGGCGCCCGCGGAACAAGGTCGCTGCGAGCTTCGGTGGCAGGGCTGAGAGGAACGCCAGATCCGCCCGCCTCCCCACCCCGCACTCACGATGGCGCGGCCGTAGCAGGCCGCCGCCTCCGGGTATTTGCGGCCCACGAAGAGCCGGTTGCCCTGTTCCTTGAGCTCCTGCGCGCTCGGGCTCTTCTCCGGGCTGCCGCCGCCAGCGCCCATCCGCGCGCCACCCTCTTTCTCCTCCTTGCCCTTCATGGCGCCGCGCGGCACGGCCCGGGCTGTTCCCAGGGTCCGTGCCCGGCCGCCGTGCGCCCGCAGCCCGCGGCGCGACCCGCTTGGCCCGGTCCGGCAATCCACCACCGGAACTTCCGGTGTGGGGCGGGGCTGGTGGGAGGCCACGTGACCTCGGGCGGGGCAGCGCCAGAGAGTCCAGGCACTCATTGGGCCCCGCCCCCCGAGTCCGGCCCCGCCCTGTAGGACTCGACCTGGACTCCACGCCGCGAGGACTTAGCGACCGCCAGAGTGCTGAGGGTGTGCGAGGACCCAAGTCCCTGGGCCGCCGTCCGGACACTCCACGGAGAGGTTCTGCGGGCGTTCAAAGCCGTACGTGGGCGGCTGGAGGTCATGGGCCGCTGGTAATTCGTCGAGGACAAGGCCGATAACCAGGCGGGAGTCCACGGCCCGGACTCCCCTCACCGTCTTTCGGGAGGAGCTGCCCACGGTCATTTGGTGCAAAGCGGAGAAGCACAGGACTCAGGATTTGCAGGGACTGGTGGCGGGGAAACTAACGGGGAGGGGAGGGGCCACGAGGAGAGGTGGAGCTTCTTCCTAGACGTGACCTACAGGCGGGGCTTCTGGGGCGTGGCCTCGTGAAGGGGCGGGTCTTTGGCGGGCAAGCTTCCCTAGGAGGTCCAGGTCTAGCACCGGGGACTCCTGACTCGTAGAGGGGTAAGGCGCATTGCAGCAGTGGGGGCCGTCAACCCCCCAGAGCTGGTGGTGCATCGCTCAGCCACCGCCTTCCTCCTGCCAGACTCGAGAGATGCAGACACAAAGCTGTGCGTCCTCCGAGGCATGGGCCCCATCACCACCTCCGTTGTGCCTGGGTGCAACTTAGGTTCTGGCGTCTTTGCCTGTGAGATGTGCAGATGGTGTGTTGCAGGGTCCTGGTCAGGAGCTACAGGATGTTATCGCGAGAGCTACAGTCTATAACTGTCGTGGAGGCTGGAGCTCTGGAGGTGGTAGCCTTCATGTCCAGTGAGGCAGTGGGTGTAGTGCCTGGCCTGCTAGCCCTGCAGTATATTCTCACGCAGTACTGCTGTACCTGGGCCAGGTGCAAGTTGCGTGTCACAGCCCTAAGCCAACGTGGACTACTGGTGGGCTAGGAGTACATCCAAGATCCCAGTCCGGGTGGAGGAGGTGGCTGGTGACCTTGGGCCCCAAACTCCCTGGGTCCCTCCCAGCCAGTGCCTCAGGGCCATGGACTTCTCACCTTGTGGAAACGGCACTATAGAGTTGGGCTATGCAGCAGAAGCTGTGCCTGGACATGCTGCCTGACCTTGGCACTAGCATGGTCTCGTGCAAGGATGCAAGTGCAAGGCAAGCCAAAAAGCACAGGACTCACACCAAATGAACTTGGATGTGGCCTAAATCCTGCCTCCTCATCTGTCATGAGACATCAGGGTACAGGTTTCTGGACAGCAGGCTGGCTGAATAAGAGGCTAAGTGTCCCCAGAGCTCAATAAAAGCTTGCTAAACTCAGCCTGACCAGGAACCCAGTCCCTCCCCTGGTGCTCTGGGACCTACACAGTTATTCTAGCAGTGTGGAATAACTAGCACCTCTTGGCAGGTACAGAGGGGAAAGGGGGATGGAAACCCAGGCCCTCATCATGGTGAGTGCATCCCTTGAGGTCTGTTAGCAGGGTGGGAGTAGACAAGCCTCCAGAGCCCCAGGATAACTACCTAGTGGAGTGTAAAATATTTATTCATTCAAAAAGGCTCAGACTGCAAGTCCTGGGGTGGAATGGATGGGATTGGGTCTCCTTTGGGACCACCCTTGGGGACCTCCCCCCCCCAGGCCTGGGAGGGGCGGCCAGGGCTGAAGTGAGACTCAGCCTCAGCTGGTGGACTACAGGGCCCACCTGCACCTGTGAGGAGAAGCAGCCCTGAGATGTCCACTCACGGGGGGGGGCAGGTGTGCAGACCTGCCTGGTGGCTGGACACCACATGCCCCTCTGGCCCTGGGGAGCAGCAGGTCAGGGTGGTGGGGGGATGTGGGCACCCAGCAGGTCATAGGCGAAGACGTTCCAGAAGATAGCGAAGAGCAAGAAGGTGCCATAGGCAAGCAGCACCACCCACCAGCCACACTGGTCCTGCAGGCGCTCCTCGTAGCTGCGCAGGATGGTGAGGCCCATGCTCACCCCCACCACTGCACCTGCCAGGTGCGCCATGAAGCTGGGCTGTGGGCCTGAGGCAGGCAGTGGCGGGGAGAAGCGCAGCCACACAGCCCGGCCCACCTCGGAGCTCACTGCAGAGGGAGCAACAGGTGGGAGGTGCCCATCTGCAGGCTGAAGGTCCCCAGCCCCCACCCGGCCCCCTACTCACTGCACACCAGGGCCAACACCATCCTCAGCAGCTTGTAGGGACACCTCATCCCAGCCCAGTTCTGAGGGGGGCATGCAGACAGAGAGGCCGTGAGGCGGGCCAGGTGGGGCCCTTCCCACAACCCTGCCAGGCGGCCCAGTTACCATGACAACGTTGGCCAAATGTGCTGAGCACAGGGCATAGACCCCGCCAGAGCCCCCCACTACAGGGGCACGCATGTCGGTGATGGAGACAGTCAGGGAGCCTGCATAAGCAGAGGCAGGGGTGAGGGCACAGCCAGCCAGTAAGGTGGGCAGGGGGCCCGTGCCCGCCTCACCTGCCAGCACGCCTGCCAGGTAGAGCAGGCTGATGCGGAGTAGGCCATGCACCATCTCCAGGGGCACCCCGATCATCAGCTGCAGGAGAGCATTGAACCCCAGCTGTTCCAGCCTGGCCACATGGGGGCAAATAAGCAAGAGGGGTGCGGTCAGCGGTGTAGCCTGCCCTCAGCCTGCCTCATGCTTCCTCTCCCCTAGGCTGAGCCTTGATTGAAGGAGCAGGGTGCTGGAGGGGTTCACCAGCTGGCTCCCCACTCACCCAACGTGCATGAACATGTAAGTGAGGAAGCGCCACGCACGGGCACGGTGCCCAGGGTGGTACACAAGGGGGCTCTTCATGTATTCAGGGTGGTAGGTTTGCAGCACCCACTTGTTGAGGCGGGCCCCATAACACAGGAACACAACAATCTGCAGACACAGTATAGTTCATCAGGGCCAGGGATTCTCAAGGCTCCCGGGGTGTTGGGTGGGCAGCCCACCTGGGCAAGAGTGACTGAGGCCATGAACACGGGGGGCGGGCAGCTGCGGTGCCTGTAGAAGTACCAGCGGCGGTCCACCTCACAGGGCAGGATCTCATAGGCCACATAGCGCACAAACCGCTTGTAGACACCCAGCCCTGGCTCGTCCAGCAGCCCGTCTCGGGGCAGCGCCCGCTGTCCATTAGCGATGGCCCTCTTGAAGCTACTGGAGCGCTTGCTGCTGATCTGGGGGGCAGGGGCCCGAGTGTGGGCTACAGTAACACCCCTAGGGCACCCCTGCCCTTGTGGGTTGGAGATCCTGCCCATACCCACAAGGAGAGAGAGAGAGAGGCCACCCAGGGGGAGGCCACCCAACCACCTGCTTTGCCCAGAGTGCTATGCCTGCCCAGGTGTGGCCCCCGCCCCTACTCCCCATCCACCATGGCACTGACCAGGTCCACCAGCTCCTGGTAGCAGATCTGGCCCCGATCGTTGCTCTGGGCCAGGGCCACCAGCATGTCCAGCTTGGCTGGGTCCAGGGGCAGCTCATGGCTGTGCACCAGACCAGCGAAGGTGTCTGCGCCAATGAAGCCTGTGTTCTCAGGATCCAGCTGCTGCGGTGAAGGAGCCGCAGGCCCGGGGCTGAGGGGTGGCTGGGATCTGCAGGCTGGTTCCTGGGACCCTGGCTGGTCACAGGTCCTAGGCCTGCTGCACCTAAGCTCCCCAGGGTATCTCACACCCTACTTCAGGTCCCACCCACCAGTCCTGAGAAGATCCGCCCCTCAGAGAACACCCACCCTTCCACCCTGCTTTCCTCCAAGGCCGGCCAGGGCCCGAGGTCCTGTTGCAAAGGGGCGTAGGCGCGGGGGGGGGGCTCCCCGTGCCCAGTTCCCCCCGCCCCAGCCCCTTAACGGAAAGGAGCCGGTAGCGGCGCGGCCCCTACTCCACGCACCTGCTCCTGGATAAGCTGCAGCAGAGAGCTCCTGTCCATAGAGCCGGGCCGGGGGCCGGGGTCGGCCGAGGCCGGGAGGGGCTGCTCTGCGGACGGCTCCGCTCCGCCCCGGCCGGCCCGCTCTGCCTGCTCTGTTCAGTGCGCGCCGCTCTCGGGCCACCACGTCACGGTGCCGCGCACTCGCGCACACAGCGCCCCTGCACGCACGCGCCCCACACGCACACCCGAGGCAGGCACAGGACCACTCAGCGCCGTCCCAGTCCTGGGGCACCGCTGTCGCGCACCGCGGTGCAGAAGCTCCTCCCAGTAAGTTGCTGCACCTAAAACTTCCGCTGCGAGACGCTTTGAGCGCCGTGTCAGCCTTCTCAAACCAACACTCAGCACAAACGTCACCTCCTCCGGGAAGCCTTCTCAAGCCACCCAGTTGCCCGAGACTCCGCTGCTTGTAACCCTGTGGTTCCTATGGTCTAGTTTCTGCCCAGAGCTCTCTTGAAAGTGCCAGTATGCCTTCTAGAGACATCCACTCTTATTCCTAGCACTGCTGCAAGGAGGCCCCATGCAACTTCGAGTCAGGTGGCAAATGTAGAGAAGGCCCTGCTCTTAACTGTCCCCATACAGCATCCAAAACCAAATTACATGCTGAGTCACTCCTGAAGCCCCAGGGCCAGGAGCAGAGTACCCCCAAAGGTAGGGATGCAGCAGGGATAAGGGGAGTACCTGCTGCTAGTAAGGGCAGAGACCTCTCCAACCAGGGAGGTGGCAGACCAAGGGGGTGTACAGAACATGGCAAACCCTCCCTGGATCCTGCCGGCTGTAGCAGAGATGCAATGGTGTCATCACTCCTGGCCTCTGGGAGATAAAACAGACTATAAATAGTATCCTGCCCTTCTCCAAAATGAACTCAGGCCCAAATCCAGACCCTCAGATTCAGTCATGGCTGTGGGCTGGAGGGTATCTAGCTGGGAGAAGCATGTAGACACTTGTCTGTAGGTACTGAAGCATGGTTGTGTTGTGGGTCATCTTGGCTGTGCTTCCCGCTTAGGCCAGCGTTCCACAGCTATCCTATTCCTGGCACTTCGTGACAACAGCTTCATCTCAGAACAGCCCCGGCCTGGAGTGTAGGGAGTGGGCAGTAAGGGGGAACATCCAGTCTTGGAGAAGGGTAGAAAGACCTTAGGCAGGGAAAGTTACATTCCCAGAGAAGGTACTGTCCCCACAAGGAACCATGACCCTGAGATCTCAAGACTGATGAACTTTGATGCTCCTGGACCATAGCTGGGCATGACTGCACCCTCCAGAGGCCATTTGCCATACACTGGCTTGAGTGAGGCTTTGGAATGGGGACAGGGGAATGGGAGGTATATGCAGGTCAGGTGACATTTCCAGCCCACACCAAAACAAAGCATGTATCTTAGATTGATTCAAGAAAAGCTGTCTTCAGAAATGGAGAAGCAAGAACTGGAAAGGACAGAAGTTTAATTTGGAAACCCAATCTGTCTTCTGCTGTGGATGTGGCCATGGGCAAGGCTCTTAACTGGACAGAAAGGTAGGGGCTGCACTCAGTCTAGCCACTTCCTGTTCTGGCCACCTCCTCTGGCCCCTGCATACCCTCTGACCACCTAGGCCAAGGAGGAGGCAGGAAGACCTGAGAACCCCAGGTCTGGTCACCTACTTCCTCGCCCATTACCTGTCTCCCACTTACAGGTACCTGCAAGGGTGAGGCCATGCACGGACAGTACACTTGCTCCCCACCATCAGGCCAAGCAGGAACGAGGGCATGGCATGGCAGAACAAAGCCCAGCCTGGGGTGGCCTGTCTTCAGAAGCAAAGGTTTAGAAAGACAGATGCTCCCCAAGCAGTAGTCATACACCAGTGCTTTAGGGTTCCTGCAGACATGCTGTGGGGCTGAAAACACACAACACACAGGCCATGCTGACCCCAAGGCGCCAATAGCAGGCTGTGTTAGGGTTTCCAGGCCATCATCGGCTCTTCACCAGGACCTTGTAGAGTGAGAAACTGAGAACTGCTGCCACAGTGGCTCCGACAGCTACCAGCATCCCCCGGAGCCAGAAGGAGGTGGGGTGCAGTTCTGTGTGAGCCAGATGTCTGCAGGAAAGAGGGGTACTCAGGGTTTGTGCCTGCACTCTTGCTGCTGCAACCCTCCACTTTGTCTCAGCAGAGGCCAGGCCACACAGCCCCACCCTACAGCCTGACCCCAGCACACCCAGTAGCAGACACCAATGGCTCTGGGACAGGACAGGCCACCCTCCCCATAGCTGTGGTGCAGGAACCCACGGGAATGCAGCCATGGTGGCCAGCTGGGTAAAGATGTCAGTGTTTGGCAGGGCTGGGCCTTTGCAGGAGAACTGGGCTGGGGCGAGCAGCCGGTGCCGGTGGCAAAACTCAGCCGGTGACAGGCCTGGTGGGACAACACCTTCAGGCAGGTCAGCCTTGGAGGAGACAAAGAGGCAGGGAGTCTGGCCGTCCATGTAATGGCGCTGTGGGAGATGGGCTGTGTGAAAGCTGAGCTCACTGTTTACCCCACCTAAGCTGTGCTCTCCAGCAGGCCCCAGCCCCTGCCTTGCCTTGTAGATGCTGGCACAGTAGAGAAAAGACGTAGGGTCACTGCCATCGAACATCAGGCAAGCAACGTCACAGGCAGCATCGGGCAAGGTGGCCAGCAGGCTGTCTGTGCTTACTTCACACAGCTGGGATAGACGGTGACCTCAGAGCATGTTCCCAAGGACTGGGTTTCCCAGGGGTACCCTGAGAAAGCTCCACAAGGTGGGGGGATGGGCATGAGGGTGTCCCAGCCCACCTTCAGGGTCAGAGTATGTGGCTGGCACTCACAATCAGGTATTTCTCTTGCCCGTTGACCTGTACTGTGTCAATGGCGTAGACAGGAGATCCCTGGGGGAATGGCTTGGTATCCTGGTGCTGAGAGGCAGGAGGGAGACCATGATGCTCAACGGCCCCAACATTCCTTAAGTGTACTCTCCTGCCCTAGAGCCTCCCCCATGTTGGGGGTAGTGGTTCCCACAGACACTCACCCCCAGGCTGTGGCCAAGGAAGGCCTGCAGGAAGGAGGACTTGCCCACTCCTTGGGCCCCCACCACCTTGCACATGAGGACATTCCGCTGTGTTTGCCCCTTCTCTTGGTCCAGCCTCTTCTCACGGGTGACTGAAAGGGTGACCTCAGATGAGGGGGGGCTCCAGGGAGAGCCGAGCCCAAGACCCAGGGGGTGGGTGCCCACCTGTGATGGCCTGAACCTGTGAGTTCTGCTCACACAGGGTGGGGTACCCCAGGTAGCCAAGATGTTCGAGGGAGCGCTGGACATCCAAGTAGGTCACCAGGCTGGGTAGATGGGAGGCACAGTGTCACAGTGAGGAAGGTGCAGGCGGGCCGGTGTAGATGGGTGTTGAGGGCTGTACTTACGTCCACTGGCAGAGGTACCCATGCAGAGGAAGCCGGCCTGCATTGGTGCGAACAGTGTAAGGAAGCTCAGGACCCCAGGGGGCCACTGGGAACACGCTGAAGAGGTTTTGCAGCTCCTCCCTCGAGAGGGCACCATCACAGTCCTGGGAGCAGAGGGTGGAGGTGACGTGTGCTGGGCAGTTGGCAGGGGCTGGCAAGAGTGGTGGGGCTCACCTGGTCATGCTTCTCAAACACTTGTTGCACAAACTGGTAGCCATGGTGGTTAAGTTCAGTGGTACAGCCAGGGGGCACGTGGAGCCTGTGGGGGACACCATACTCATCCGGTTCCCAGGGGACCCTGTACTCTGTGCTGGCACACCTCCTGGTGTCACCCTGCTTACCCCATCTGTGCAGTCAGGCCTCCCAGGGCTCCTGAAGCCCCTCATCCCATAGCTGGGAGCAACCAAGGAGGGTAGTGTTGGTCTCTGGTGTGTGGGAGGCCTGGCTGAGTCCCTAGGTCACAGGGACCATCCCATATCAGAGCCCTGATATGGGCCCAGAGTCCCTCAATCTGTACTCTGTAGACACCAAGGGGTTTGAGGCAGACTTGGGCCAGGAAGCCAGTACAGTAGGGCACATTCCTACTTTGCCCCTGGAAGGGTCGATCCCCCATCCCACCCGCTACTCACGGTGGGAAGAGGTAGTCAGTGGTCAGCTCCAACATGTCACTGTAGCCAAAGCGCCGTAGGATGGCCCATGTGGTCTCATGCCGGCCACGCTGGATGAAGAGTGTGTTCAGGAAGAGGAAACCTGGGGGGGACCAGAGGAGGTAGCATCCACCATAGCACACCCCACTCCCCACACCACGGCCTGAGCAGGACATCTGCCTTACCATCCAGCGTCAGCCGGTCATCCTGCACGCCACCTGGCACATTCTTGCATACCACCCTCTTTACATCCTCCAAGGCCTGTGGGGCCAAGGGGTGGCCAAAGCAGGACTTCTGCTTCCAAGAAGAAGTTGCTTCAGATCAGCTAGTTGCCCTTGGTTGCCAGGTCACATCACTGATAGTGATTGAGGCCTGGGGGTAGGTATCATGGGGCAGGGTGCACACCTGGAAAGCATTGAGCTCCTCATCACTAAGCGAGTTGTCCAGGTCCTGATCCGAGAGCCTGAAGATGCGTGTAAGGGCCTGGGCACACTTGGGCCTCAGCTGCAGGGACACCAGCTCAGTGCTGCAGGTGGCCTTCACCTGGTCTGCCCTGCCACCCACCTTGCTTACTCTCCCCACCCAATACCCAAAAGAGCTTAGGGCAGAGTGTGGTGTTCTCACCTACCACTCACCTGCTTTGTCTCAGAGTCATAGAGGGGGGGTGTGGGGTGCAGAACAGCCTTCTGGGCATAGTAGAACAACTCTGAGATGTTCCTCAGGTGCTTGGCTGAACACTGGGAGAGTACAGGACAAGACAGGACCCGGGAGGTACCCAAGGAAAACATAGAGGGGTCAGGCTTGCCCCGCACAGGCACCTGCTGCAGAGTCTCCACATTCCTGTTCTCACCCAAGTCCCCTCCTCCTTTCCTCCTTCTCCACATATCTGCTCACCTCCACACAGGTCTCTATCTCAGGAAACTGGCTCATGATGGGCAGCACAGCCTCCATGCTGCTTCCTGGCCGCAGGTCTGACTTGTTGCCCACCAGAATGATGGGCACCCTGGGGAGATGCTCACGGTCATCAGGGATGGGGAGCTGGTAGGCCCTGATCCCCCTGTATCCCCTGCTTGTTACCTGGGCCCACTTCCAGTTCTGCCATTCACCAGCGGGATCCATTTGGTTCGGATCTGAAAGGCAAAGCCTGGCAATGAAATGAGGCTGCCTACCTGGCCCATGGTCTGCCTGGAGCTTGCACCAAGCTCAAGGAGAGAAGAGGCCGAAGCCAAGTGGGGGTCAAAGTTACAGCCACTGGAATGAAGCTAGTGAGAAAAAAAGATGGCAAATGAGACCCTAGCCGATCTAAACAGCTGCAACCCCCCCCCCTTCGCAAGTGGACTAGGGTCCCAGGCCGTCAAGCAAGCCCCTGGCCATTCCCTCCTGGGATTCTGGGGCCAGGGAAGGAAAGGAGCTGCTGGCCTAAACAGTTGGACTGGTCATTCTAGGCTCTCTCCATTGAGATGGAGTCCCAGGAGACTGACCCCAAATCAGAAGTGTGGGGATCCCTCAGACAGCAGACACCCACAAGAGTGGGTGAGGGCCCACTTGGACCACAAAGGTCCACTATATGCCATCTGGCTTTAAGTGAGAACGGGCTGCTGATTGAGCCAGGTGCCAACAACAGGGACCTGGGACAGATGGGAAGTCCCCTCCTGCTCACCTTCTCAATAGTAGCCTCCTTGGACGTGTCATATACAACACATACCACGTTTGCCTGCAGGGGGAGCAGCAAGGTGCAGGGTGACCAGAAGATATTCCACATAACCCAAGGCTCCGGCATGTCCCAGGTGTGGATCCAAAGCTCAGGAAGCCCACCCTTCCTGGAACCTGGCCCAGCCAGGTGCCTACAGGGAAGGTGCTCCCTAGCTGTGTCACACCGGGGACTGGAAGCCACTGCTCAGTCTCAGAGGACTTCCCCCCAAGCCCTCCGATCCCAATGCAGACACTAGGCCCCAGCACCATGGGTCTGGTCAATAGCTCCAGAATGCTCAAGCCAAACATATCATCTAGATTAGGGAGATGTAGGTAAAAAGGGACCCACCCATGGCCTCTACCTCGTTTTCACCTCACAACAAGCAGCCAGGGTGACAGAGATGAGATGAGGCTGCCCATTCAGCTCATGGTGTCTGCACCCTTGACTAAGACAGTATGTGCAGGTCTCACAGGGGATGCCACAAGGGGCTAAGTCCTGGCATACACATCTGCTGTTATTTTTTGTTTTGTTTTGTTTTGTTTTGTTTTTTTGGTACCAGGGATCGAAGTCGGGTTGGGCAGCAGGCGGCAAAACCACTGAGCTAAATCCCCGGCCCACATCTGCTGTTATTATGTGAGTCCCAGTTAAGCATGACCCCCACCACAGCTTGGAGGTCCAGGAAAGTGGACCAAAACAGAGACAGGACCAAAGCACAGAGGTTCAAGGGGACGCTGTGAAGGACATGGGACTGTTCCTCACAGATCTGGTCTCTTCTCTCTCTGAGCACTACTGAAGGGACTAGCAAGTCCTGGCTGCAACAGGGTATGTCCTGGAAGCCACAACAACTCTCGGGTGCTCAGAGTTCACCAAAGAATTATCAGGCTGTGGAGAGCCCAGAGCCTTAATCCAGCTCCCCAAATGGGCGAAGCTGATTAGGCCAAGGTAGCTGTGGCTGAGAACGCTGAGCCATGCTTGGAATATGTCGAACCTTGTGGATCTCATCCTGGAGCTCCTCATCGGTCTGCTCGGATTCTAAGGGGAGAGATAGCCTGCTGAAGACCCTCTACAGGGAGGTCAGGGGAAGAAGCCTATGGCCGGTGCGATTGCTACCTGAGTAATCCACAATGTGGGTGGGCACCTTCTCCGGGGTGACATCGGCAGGGATGGTGATCTCCTCTGCGCGGGCTGGGACCTGTAAGAGGTAAGAGATGACCCGGTCTCGCCCCCTAGCCCTGGCGCTGAAACCCCGCCCCCTACCTCCGCCCTCGGCGCCGCGCACCTCCTCCGGGAACTCCTCGCCCACCAGTGACAGGATCAGCGATGTCTTCCCCACCTGAGCTGCGTGGGTGGGGGAGGGCAGTGACGCGGGAGGTCTAAAGTCCGGCGCCCTGTCCACCTACCCCACAACCCGCCTGCGGCCAGGCACCTACCCTCACCCAGCAGCAGGATGCGCACGTCCCGCCTCATGGCTGCGCCTGCTCCCGCCTGCCTGGGTTTTGACCCAACCTCGAATCTGGAGCCCCCCCCCCCACAAGAACCTCAGCCCCGACCCGACCCGACCCAGTGAGTTCCCCGCCCCACACTAGCCCCGTTCCCGCCCTTCCGGCCCCTAGCACCGCCCCTTCCCCCCGTATTTCCGGTCCCACCCGCGCAGCCGCACTAGTGATTGAGGGACTGCAACAGCGCCGCCTAAGAATCGCGCCGGCCCCCTTTGCGATGCATTCCCCGCCCCGCTCCGCCCCCCCCGCCCCGCAGGTAGGGAGGGAGGGCCATGGTCCTGGATTTGGAGCAAGAGGCTCGCGGGTATGGCAGGGGATGCGCTTAGGACAGGAAAATGATCAGTGGAGATGCAATGATAGGATCATAATAAAACAATGTAGCAAAATACAATAAATGTCTACGTTTATTTTAAACTGTACAAAGTAGAAACATTAAAAAACCCTTAAGTAAAAACCCAACAGGTATTCTGATTTTTTTTTCTGTGCCAAACACATGCTCTACCCGAGTTATACCCTCAAGTCCCTTAAGTCCTCTCAGGTCACCAGAATTCAAGACAGATGAGCCCTGACGATTTAAGAGCCCTGTCCCACGCATCTCTGCCCAACATGCCACCATCCACACTGGCTTCTCTGCCCCAGGGCCCAGCAGGCCTGTTGGGGCACCGGGGAAGCAGGTCCACTGCAGCTCAAGGGCTCTGGACCTCCCACACCAGGACCTCACTGTGGGCCACTGTGAAGAGCAGCCTGCCCGATGGGGTGAACCTGCACAGGTGCACCACATCATCATGGCCAGCAAAATCTTGGGTGGTCCCTGATGTGCAGTCCACCAGGCTCAGTGTGCACCCTGTGGGCAAAGGGCATAGGTGGGAGGGTCAGGAGGTATGTTGCAGGGTCCCCTGCTCTTTCCCTCTCTGTCCCTGGCTGGACATGGTGTAGGTGTAGGCAACCAGTACTGTTAGAGGCCTGCTGCAGTCCCACACTTGAGCTCCTCTGGCCCAGTGACTGGGCTACCTAAGTCCTCCCTGGTGCCACTACCTTCTCCCACTCAGATCCCAGCCAGTGCTGTGCGGGGTGTTCCCCCACCTTATCTCCTGAGCCTGAGCACTCTCTGGAGCAGGCATCTTCTTATACCCCCTTGTGGACAAGGAGCCTGAGGCACAGAGGTAAAGTGTGTGTCTGGGGGGATGCAGCTAAGCTGGCTCAGGCCCCACCTAAGGCAGGTCGGAATTCACATCCACCAGCACTTACCAGAAAACCCGACAGCCATGAGGCAGGGCCCCGGGGATAGGCTCAGGGACATGGCAAAGAAGGGTAGCAGTATCTTCACTACCACCTGTGGACAGTGAGGATGAGGCTTGGGACCTCCAATGGAGGCTCCTGCTTGGAGTACAACTCAGGTTCTCACAGCCCCTGACCCCGGGCTGCAAAGCCCTGGACACTAGGGCTGCTAGCACCAAGCAGGTGGATACACACACCTGCTTCTGGCGGAGACTGTAGAAGACCACCTCTTCACGTGTGCCGAGGCCCACACATACCACTAGCGCCAGGTCCCAAGGGCAGAAGGTGGCGAGGGAGGGTGGCGGGAGGCCTGAGGTCTGCAGAGGAGTGCAGCATGCTGTGGTGGGGTGGGCAGGCATGGTCACCACCCATGTACCACTGGACACTTACCTCCAAAGCAGCAGGTGCCGGGAAGCTCAGCCAGTCCAGGAGTTCACAGTGGTTCCTTGACCAGTTGGAGGCCCAGACACTGACTCTCTGGTCCTCACTGGCAGCCAGCCACAGGTCTTCGCCCTCTACTCCTAGGTCTCTATACTGAGGGTTGAGGATTATGGGTACCTCTTGCCCCAAGGTGCCCACCATCCTACCTGGCCTCACCCCAGGCCCCTCTCTACCAGCTCTTGAGGATGCTTCACCTCTTTGTGTGTGCCCTGGATGGCAGAGTTTGGGGCATCCTGGTGGTCGTTCAGCACACAGAAGGTCATTCTTGTGTGGGGGCGGCTCACTGCCACAAGCCCGTCCTTGTCTCCAGAGAGGATGGTCTGACCTGGGCCGGGCAAGGACCGGGCCTGTGAGCCCAGCCCCAGCCTGGACGTCTGATGTGGTCACCCTCCATACCCCCAGCTCCTCACCATCAGTGGAGAAGGCAACGGCTGTCACTGCAGCCTGGTGGGGGTGCATCTTGAGCTTCATTGTGGTACAGGAGATGCTGAAGACACGCAGTGTGCCATCACTGTAGCCTGCCACCACCTGCTGCTGCTCTGGATGTCCACAGGATGGGGGGCTCCATGCAAGGCAGAGAGAGCTCTGGGGACCCGTGGTGGCAAAACCTCAGCACTGCCCAGGAAGGGGTGATAGGGCACCAGCCCCAAAGCTGAGGCCAGAGGGAGCCCTGACCAACCCACTCCCACATACCTGGTTCAGCACCTGGAACTGGATTACCAGCTCCATGCTGGCCAAGGACCACACCCTCACACTCCCGTCCTCTCCACAGGTGGCACAATATGACTCGCCAGGGCTGAAGACCACCTCATTCACCTGTGGGGACCCCACTGGGTTGAAGGGACCTTTAGCAAGGCCTTTTCTACCCCAGCTGCCAAGGCCAGCTTGTCCATACAGAGCACTTGTTTCCTGCCCCAGCCCATTTGGCCTAGAGACCTCCAGGTGATGTAAAGAAACAGACCACCAGAAATAGTGGGACCCACCAGCCAGTGGGACATGGGCCTCTGTGGAAGGGCTAGGTGGCAGAATCTGAAACATAATAAGTAACTAAGTGTCTTCAGCAGACTATAGGGAAAAACACAAAGGCACCCCCAGCTGAGTTCAGTGGTTATGATACTGGTGGCCTCATGGTTTTCCCTAAGGTTGAATGTTTGTCACGGGAGGAAGGAGATATGACATCATGTAGGTATCACTGAAAATCACAGATTTTTGGAGAAAGGAAGTGCATGTGCTGTGCGCCACTGAGGCTCAGTGAAAAGGCCCAGCATTGAATTACAATTTCAAATGCAAGTGTGAACTCATGGTGCATTTCATTTTAGGAAGATAATTCAGGGCTGGGATGCAGTTCAGAGGTAGAGTGCTTAGAGTGATTGCCTAGCATGCTAAAGCCTGGGCTCAATAGCAGCACTAAAAAAAGAAAAAAAAGAATATGCTGGTGCCGGATGAACCTGGAAAACAGAGACCACACAGCATAGGACCCATTCATGTGAACTGCCCAAAGGAATAAACCCACGGAGACAGAAAGCCAATGAGTGGTTGTCAGGAGTGAGGGGATCAGAAATGGGGAGTGGTTGCTCGATAAATAGGAGTTTCCAGCCTGGATTTAGCTCAGTGGTTCCACCGCTTGCCTTGCAAGCACAAAGTCCCAAGTTCAATCCCTAGTACCAGAAAAAAAAAGAGGGCGGGGGGTTTCCTTTTGAGGTGATAAAGAGGGCTCTGAAATTGACTGAGATGATGCCACACAACTCTGTTGAAGACACTAAAAACCACTCATTTTAAATGGATGAGGCACGTGGTCTGTAAATCATGTCTCAGTAAATCTGTGACCACACAGAAAAGTAACCCTTCCTCCCTCACTCCATCTCAAACTCAAATTTAACAACTACCCTTATCTTCAAATAAATAATTCCTTTTTTTTTCTTTTGGTAGTGCTGGTATTGAACCTAGGGCTTCATGTAGGCAAATAAATGCTCTACCACTGAGCTACATCCCAGCCCTTATCTTTGAATAAATAGATTTTTTAAAAAGGAGTAAGAAGCAGATACAGTGGCCCATGCTTGTAATCCCAACACTCTAGAAGACCGAAGCAGGAGGATCATAACTTCAAGCCCAGCCTGGGCAATTTAATGAGACTCTGTCTCAAAAAACAAAAGCCAACCATGGTGGCACATGCTTGTGATCCCAGCACTCAGGAGGATGAGGTGGGAGGATTATTGCAAGTTCAAGGCCACTCTGGAGTACATAGTGAGTTCAAGCCTATCCAAAACTAGAGTGATACCCTGTCTCAAAAATAAATAAATAAAATAAAAAATAAAAATATAAAGGGCTAATGGTGTGAAGGCCTTGGGTTCAATACCCAGTACAGGAAGAAAGAGAGAAAGAGGGGAGGGGGGAGGAAGAAGAGGAGAAGGGAGAGAAGGAGGAGGCGGTGGAGGAGAAAAGACAAGGCAAAACAAACCCAACTCTTTGAGTCTCATGCCTACTGAAGGCAGGACTCCATGAGTAGAAAAATACAATAAGCCAGAGTGAAGTGGGACCCAGACATCTTCTGAAGTACATGTCAGAGGCAGCCAGTGATGAAGAACACTAGCACACTGGCTCACCCCAGGAACTAACCTGATGCTCAGGAACCTAGCCACAAAAGACAAGAACTGGACAAGTATTGACCCTGCTGCTCTAGTTCCGGCTCTGCCTTGGGAACTGTAGCTCCCAAGGCCATTTTCTCTCCGGAGGTCTGCAGCAACTCAGCAGAGAGAGAACAGAACCAGAGCCCTGCTTGCAACATGCATGGTGGTGACAGCCCCCTTCCAGGAGCCCCCATGCTTCTCACCAAGGACAGTGTGCTGCTTCTGAAGTGGCTACAGGACTGACTGACCTTGCCAAGGCCTGAATGGATCTAACCAGACCCAACCAGAACCCGACCAGAACCTCAGAAATGTTGAGAACCAGAACCTGACAAGATATGATCAGAACCCCAATCAAATCCAAATATAACTGACCAGCTCCAAACAGACCCCACCAGAACCTTTGAGACCCAAAGAGATCTGACCAAACCTGACCAGGCTTGACAATCCCTGACCACATCAGACCAGAACCTGACTCAGATCTGACCAGACCCTGACTCATACTGAATCAGAACCTGACCAGAATCTGACCAGACCTGACCAGACACGACCAGATCTTGGCCTGAACCTGACCAGACACAACCAGAACCTGACTAGACTCAATAAGAACAGACTAGAAACTGACCAGATCTCACCAGACCTGCTAGAACCTGTCTGACCTCCTGTCTCCTAGACCTCAGTCCATGGGAGTTGTCAGGACAAATGACAGGGTGTATTCAACAAGCACAACAAAAGAAAGTAAGGTTAGTTGGGCATGGTGGCACATGCCCTGTCATACCAGCATTCTGAGAGGCTGATGCAGGAGGACTGCAGGTTTGAGCTTGGTCTGGGCAATTTATTGACTTAGCGAGATGCTGTCTCAAAAGGGAGGAAGGGTATAGATTAGTATGAAAGTCCTCAGTGCAATCCTCACTACCCCCAAAAAAGAAAAAGTAAGACAGAGAAAGGAAAGATCTAGAATCCTTACTGAGACCATCAGACCACTGCCTCACACAGATGCCAGCTGGACCTATGTGACAAGTGTGCTCAAGGGCCCACCCTGGGACTCCCAGATGGTCACTACTGAGCTGTGGACTCAGATCAACAAAGAGGGCAGGGGTTGGGGGAAGGGGCCAAACATGCTTGCCAGTCTCCCCTGCCCATCCAGGATGGAACCCCTCTAGCATTCTCCCTCCCAGCCCAAGGCCTCACCTTGCTCCTGTGGCCACTGATGAGGCGAGTGCTGGTCCCCTCAGCCCAGCTGATATACCAGTGTGCCAGCTGTGGTGCCCACAACACCCATGTCCACGCTACTGTCAAAGCTAGCACTCACCACAGCCCCGTCTAGGGTCAGCTCACGCTCCATGAACACAGAATTGGACCTGAATTGGGGAGACGGAGTAGCATTGTCAAGAGCCAAGTGACAGGGCAACCATGGCCATCGTGTCTGGGGCCTGGCTGTCTCATGAGCACAAACAGTGACAGCCCCCACATTAGGAGTACCTAGGGGCTTTGAGCATGTCCCTGAGTTCAGCCTGCAGCCTATGGGGCTCAGGTCAGGCCCAAGTATGTCTCCAAGGAGAAGCCCAGCTGGTGACAGATCTGAAGGGCAGCCCTGGGCTGATAGTAGCACTGTGTGGCAGAGGTGCTAGCATGAGGGACCCATTAAGGACACCAGAACTCTCTTATATCCCATGTTCTGGGGATGGTGCCAAGCAGGCCTCTGGTGGCTCATCTGGCGCCTGAGCCCTTGAGTCGCAGTTCAGACACAGCCTCCACAGCCCACAGGCGCAGCCACCTTGTATTGCTGCCACTCACCAGCCTGGAGCCTGAGCATACCAACAACCCTGGGAGATGGGGGTAGAGGCAGGGTGGGTGTGATCCCCAGACAGCCTCCTGTCCCAGGACCACAGCTCCCAGGGAGATGTCTAGCACCTGCACTCACAAGGGGCCAGGGGCTACATTTGGGACCCACCAATTTCGCCATCATCTGCCGCCCAGACCAGGAAGCAGCAGCCAGCACCTATGTCCCAGACGCAGATCTGGCCGGAGCTAGAGCCACAGTAGAGTAGGGGGGCAGCCCCATAGCAGAGTGAGGTCAGCTCGGCCACACCCACTTCCTCAGGGACTGTCTCTCGGTGGACCTGGCAGGGCAGGAGGGTGACTGTTGGTCAGCAATATCCCAGGAGCCCTGTCAGACTCCACCTCGAAAATCACCTGTGGGATTGAACACCAAGCCAAAATCCTGGCACCTGGAGGCTGATGTCTGCCCCATACTGCTGCAGAAACCAGAAGGTGATGGCACCTAGGCCCACGCAAGTGAGCTCGCCTGTGTCCCAGGGGTTGAAGGCCAGGCCATGCATGGGCTCCAGAAGGCAGGTAGATGACACAAGTTCATAGGTAGCCATGCTCCACAGGCCAAGGGTGTGGTCATTGTAGTCCCCTAGGGATCCATGGGCAGCCCTATCAGGCAACAGGAGTCCAGGAGTCCAGGAAGCCCCCCCTTCTGCCAATCCCTGCCCACTGACCCAGTGTTACAAGGAATGCATCATCTGGTGAGAAGGCCAGGGCCTGCACTGCGCCGTTATGATGGGAGATGAGCTGCTGGCAGAGACCTCCAAGCACATCCCAGAGGCGGATCTGGCAGAGGGCAGCACTGCTGCCACAGCAAGACGCAGAGGCCAGGACCTGGTGGGTGTGAGGTGAGTGAGTAGTCAGTGGGGAAGCTGTGGCTCTGGGTGAAGAAGAGGCTGGGATCATGTCTCTCTCACTGTCCTTGGTGAGAACCAGGCTCTGCTGTGTACCATAGACCTGGGTGTAGACAAGAGTAGATGAGGCCAGGTACCTGGGCATTATGGCTGAGGGCCAGTGTGGAAATCTCCTCAGGGTGGCTGAGCCAGTGCTGCTGGGCTCCAGAATGCAGGTCTTCTACCACTGCCAGGCGGCCACATGTATAGGTGAAGAAGCCTGCAGGTAGAGAAGGCACCAACCTCCCTGGGGTATGTCCTCCCTATCACTGCTAAAGCCACACAGATCCTTGGGATATGGGCTGAATGCCAAAGGCATTATGGGGAGCACTCTGTATCAATCTCTCCCCCACTCACCCTGGGGCATTCCTGCTGACAGCCAGAGCTTCTTTACCCATGAAAGTCTAGCTTGGGACAGGCAGCTTGTCCCTGCCCTGTATTCTTCTGATGAGAACTCCTTGACCTACCTGTGTCAGGCCTCCAGACCATGTTGGCCCGCCCATTCCCATTGTAACCCACCACAGCCTTCAGGTGCAGCTGCTCACCACCAGCTGGAGGGCAGAAAGCAGACCCAGGGTGCTGTGTCCAGCACAGCTGCCTAGGCCCCAAATCCCACCCATGCCAGCTGCTTCAGGGCACACCTAGGCCAGCAGGGGTCTGAGCTGGGGGTGCAGACAGAGAGGTGTTGGGGGTGCTGCAAAGCTTGATGCACTTGAAGCCTGAGATGAGAAGAGGCATCAGCCAGCGAGAGGTAGAGGTGGGGCAGCAGATCCCTCAAGTCCAGTCTGGGTGCCACAAGATGGAGGAAGTGTGGGTACAGGACAGAGGAAGAGGTGCTCTCTGAGAACAAGTCTCCAACGACCAGTAGCAGTCCCAAGGAGATCTTGGGACAGGAACTCTGAGAGGGCTCATTTTCACTGGGGAGGAGGGCTCCATAAAACCCCCTTTCCCACAGAGTGGAGTGTAGCCAACCTTGGCCAGTATGAAGGCCTTATAGAGAGCAGTGAAGTGCTTGTAGGAATCTGGGCGGATAGAGGTCTGGGCTTTTACTTTCCTGGTACTCCAGGCACCTGGCAGGGAAAAGAAAGGCCACAGGACTCAGAACAGCTTGTCACCTTCCAGAGACCCTGCCCCACACAAAATTCTTCCCTGCTTAATGGGCTGCCTGTGGTGCCGCCAGGAGCCACTGACACTGACAGCCCCCCAGGCCCTGTCTCCAGCCCCACTGGGGTCCTTCTCCACAAACACGGGTGGGCCTGGGGACTTTTGGAGCACTGTGGGGTGGTGGTTCTCCTCACAGCATCCTTGCTCTTCTGATGTGGAGAATGTGCCTGGGGCAGGGGGACAGCAAGAAGAAAAAGAAGAGGGGCCCACACTGCCTAGTCCCCTATATCCCACACCCCAGAAGCACTGTACATGGCACTTAGACCCTCCCAGGAACCCCAGGACCCTGCCTCTCACCATCACTGCCCTTGGGGGGCCTGAAGTGGATGTCTAGCTGGGCTGTGGACACCTGGGATGCCATGGACACCTGCTGCTGGGGAAGCCCCCTGACCCCAGACATGACACCCTCCAGCTGTCTTGTGCCTGGGCCTGGAGGTGGAAGGAGCTATGTGGAACTCAGGCTGGGGATGGCAGAATCTTTCAGGGAGGCCAGCCTCTACAGTGGTTATGGGCATCTGAGACATGGGAAAAGGAGTGGTGCCCCCTCCACCTGGCATTATAACCTGCCATGTCTCCACACCCTCCCCTTCCAGCCACACCCAGACCACTCACCAGCCTCATGGGTTGGGGAGGCCCTGGCAATGCTTCAGTTACTGGAGGCAATGAGAAGGATATCAGGGGGCCAGCAAGAGACCCAGGTGGACACAATCAAGGCCAGATACTTGCCTCTCAGGGGTGGCCAGTACATCCCAGAGGAAGATGGCATCACCCACACTGAGGACCTGCTGCTGGTCAGGGCTGAAGGCCACAGCCTTCACGGGCTCTGAGTGACCGATGTACACCTAGGGGAAATGTGGCTGTTTCACACAGGGCATCCTGCTGTGTGCTCCTAGGACCCTGATGGACCAAGGACTAAGAAGCCCCACATAGCATTAGGCCTTGGCAAACACAGATGGTGCTGAGGTCTAACTCTCTGCCCTCTTTGCCCTGCAAGCATTGCTAGCTGTGCCCATTGCCCCCCCCCCGCCCCGGGCATCCAAGGATCAAGCACCAGAGCTGCCTGCCTGCCCACCAGACATACCTGGCAGCTGGGGTCAGACTGTGTTGAGTACTCCCAGACTTCAATGGCCTGGCCAGAGGCCACCAGCAAAAAAGAGGCACCCTTGTTGAGAGCAAGGGAGGCACAAGCCACAGGGCGGGCACTAGACAGCTGCAATGAACCATTCTTGGAAAATGCCCTGTAGTGGGCAGCAGGCAGCCTGTGGGTCTCCCCTCCTCACAGTACAGCTACAGCCCCCTTGGCTGGAGGGGCTGCAGGAACAGAGGGAAGGGAGGGCATGCCAGTGGCCCACAGTCCCAGGGCTCACCTCCCGGACAGTGCGTCCTGACATAGCATCCAGTACCATAACTTTGTTGGATGACGTGGACACAAGTAGGTGGCCTGGGGATGTAGGGCCAAAGCAGATGGCCACAGCTGAGTCCAGGCAGCCTCTGGCGAGGTCCAGAGTACTAATGTTGACCCGCAGCAGCTAGGGTGAAAAATGACCTTTGGCTCTGAGCTCCAAGCAAGGCTGACACCAACTAAAGCCAGGGAAGGAGGCAGCCTCTGGGCACCCACCTGGGTGCATGGGTACCACCTTCATTGTACAGGAGGGTGCCTGTCCCAAGGACAGCAAGGCCAGTTCTAGCACCCCTACTTGGTTGACGAGCTCTCTGCATCCACGAATGAGGTATGATGGTGCCCTGAGCCTGCTACTGAGTGACTACAGCTGCCTACTTGCTCCCTGGACCCCCTTGCACTCCACACCTGGCCAAGGAAAGAATCACTGGACCCAGGATATCCCACAGACTCACTTCATCTAGAGAGGCTGAGTCCATGACTGTCACTGTGTACTTGGAGGGGCCTACAAAGGCCAGCAGGCGGCTATCTCTGCTGACTGCTAGGGTGTTGGGGTGTGGTTGGGCATCCTGGCACACCATGTTGGCTGTGGTAGCACAGGGCATCAGGTCAGCAGGCAGAAAGGTGGCACCACAGTACAATGGGTAGCCTGAGGAAGTGCTGCCCTACCCTACCCCCATGTCTGGGAAACATCAGCAGGAAAGGGTGTGGTACTCCTTCAGAGGCCATAGGGCTCAGACATGAGATCTAAGATACAGCCAGACACCAGGCACTATGAGCAAAGTTGGGAGTCCTTGTGGGGCCCAGGAGGGACAACCAAGGGACTACTTGGCAGGCCCAAGTTACAGTGGCCACAGGAAGAGGCAGATGCTCTCTGGCCAAGCCTAACCCCACCCGGTGCTCAGGCTGCCCACCTCCTCTTGGGGCAAGGCAGGCAGATCCTCACTGATCACTGGATGAGAGGTACTTATGAACCCTAAAACAAAACCCTCTCCAGGGGTATGAATATAAGGCTAGGGAGATAGCACCCAGTACCATGTGGGCCTCAAGTGTCTCAGCACTGGTTGCCTAGTACCTTGAGACCAGCCTGAGGGGCTTGAGGGGCCTGACGTGCTACACGGAGGACGTGGCACTGAGAGTTGGCGCAGCTGTACTGAACCAGGGAGCCCTGAGAGCAGGAGCTGAATAGGAAGTTGCCATCAGGGGTAACCAGCAGGCCAATGATGGCTCCTCTATGACACCTGCAGCACACGTGAGGATGCCCACTGATCTCAGCCCATGGAGCCACACAGGCAGGGCTGTAGGCAGTACTGGCTTAGCTGCAGATGCTTTCCACCCAGGGATCCCACAGACCACCCTCTTCCACCATAGGCCTCTGTGCTGGGGACGCACGTGTGTTCCACCAAGACCCTAGCACTCTCCAGGCTAAAGGCACGCATGGTTCCACTGCTGAAGCCACAGAAGACAGCTGGCCATGTTGGTTGGAAGATGACGGCACAGGGAGTCTCATCACAAGATGTGAAGTCATACAGCTGGAGGACAGAGCAGAAGGTAGAAGCTGCAGTGGGGCTGGAAGGACAAAGGGCCTCAGGGGTTCCCAGCCCCCTCTCCAACCTGCTGCAGGTTGGCCAGGTCCCAGATATGGACAGTGTGATCCAGGGACACAGTGGCCAGCTGCCCCTGGCTCTGCTCCATGGACAGCGCCAGCACTGGGGCCATATGGGAGCGTGCCAGCACAGTGTACTCTCGGGATGGGATGTCCAGGAAGCCCAAGTGGCTTGATGAGGTGGTGGAGAGCACACGGAGACGATCTGGGCTGATACAGACTGAGCTGATGGGGCCTTCATGCTCTGGGGAAAAGCAATGTCAGCAACCTCTGGGGGCCACTGGTCACCAGAGCTGACCTCAGATTCTCTACATTCTGGGGCACTGAGGCCTCCAAGACACAGGCAACCCATCCCCTTCTTGCCAAGGGCACCAGACTACCTACAGGCTGGGAGAAACAGCTCCCTCCAGAGGGCCACTCCTAAACCTAACCCAGGCCCTTATCAGTGCCTTGCCCACCAGCTGCCACCTTGTGCCCTCCTGTGATGCCAGTCTTCAGTGGCACTGATGAAGACAGAGCCAAAGGACATGGCCAGCCCCCCATGCAGCACAGGCTCTCCAATGGCTCTCACCCATCCCTGTGACAGGGTACACACTCGAGGGCTCACCTGCCTCCAGGAGCACCGAGGAGAAGTCCAGAGGCCAGAGTCGCAGGTAACCATCCTCAGAGCCCACAGCACACGTAGTTGGAGAGACACTGAGGCTGCTGATGGTAATGCCAGGACCTAGGAAGCCTGGGCATCAGTGCCTCAAGGTGATGCCACCTACCCCTAGAACAGGAGCCCCCCTACCTGCACTGAAGGACTGCTTTCTGGGGAGGGAGTCACTTGGGACCCCTGTGGGCAGCAGGCAGTAGATGCATCGCACAGCCATGTGCTGGGGGTCAATCTCCAGGATGTGGCCATTGAGGCTGCACACATAACTGCACAGGGAGATGAAAGGTGAGGCAAGGCTCTGGGGGCACAGGGTGGGCTGGGCAGCAAGTGGTAGGGAAGGGCAGGGGCTCACAGAGTGTGGATGGAGGGCACCTGGTGGCTATCCAGGGCCTGTGAAAAAGCGAGGTCATTGAGCTCCAGTGCACAGTGCTCCCCCAGGTCCACGGGGCAAGAACGCAACGTCCCATCACGCAGCCGCCACAGCCGTATGCTGCCCCACCCACATGACGCCATCCTGCAGGAGGTGCAGAGGAGTGAGTACACTGAGGAGTAGAGGGGCTCAAGGCTTAGATCCCGTTCAGCACCATGGACCAGCCCTGTCACCTGGTATCATCCAAAAGGGAAACCCGAAAGGTCTGGATATCAAAGTCAGCGTGCACCTTTGCAAGAGCTACCACCTCGCCACCAAGGCTCACCTGGTCAGTGCCCCATGCCATCACCACCTGCAACAAACCCAGGTTTTTGGCCACAGATGCTGACCTGCAAGCCCTCTTCCTACCCTGCCTGATTCAGTGAGGCCCAGGTGAACCCTAATAGGCAATAGCATTTCTCTCACGCAGAACTCAGCCTCTGAGCAGTTGGGTTGCTGAGTGGGGAGATCAGGCCCTGCAACACACTGGCCCTGATATGTGGCTGACTCTGGGACTTCCTCAGAGATAAGCCTGGCTAGACACTGCAACCTCATAAGAAGAAACAAAAAGTAAAACCTGACCCACAAATAGAAGAATGGATAATAAAGCAAGAGGTATTGGCAACGTGAAATGCTGGGACACTTCAGTACTTGGGAGGAGCCACTGACTCTCATAAAAACACATACCTCTGGGGCCAGGGATTTAGCTCAGTGGCGCTGTGCCTGCCTCATAAGTGCAAGGCCCTGCATTTGATCCCTGGTATGGGGCGGGACGAGGGGGGGCATCTTAGCTGGGTGTGATGGCACATGTCTGTAGTCTTAGTACTCTGGGAGGCTGTGGCAGGAGGATCACAAGATCAAGTTCAGCCTGGACAGCTTAGTGACTTAGTGAGACCCTGTCTCAAAGTAAAAATTTTAAAAAAGACTAGGGGGCCAGGGATTTAGCTCAGTGGTTCCGCCACCTGCCTCAAAAGCACAAGGTCCCAAGTTCGATCCCAGGTACCAAAAAAAAAAACGACTAGGGATGTAGCTCAGTGTAAAGACTCTGAGTGTGATTCCCCGATAACACAGCCCATCTCAAGGTACAACATATGACAAGAGAGGATAGGTGAATTGCTTACTGACTTAAAATGACGCCAGTTGTGCCAGGGATGAAAAGTGAACCACTCACTATGGCATCTTTTCATGAAGCAGCCACAGGTTCCCCAGAGTCCCAAAGCCCAGAACATACATTGTCAGGACCACAGGATTCCCTACCAGGAAGGAGGCAGAAGAGGGGAACCATTGTTTTCTGTCACTGGACTTGTTTTGGAGATGGAGTCTAGCTATCCTGACCAGGCTGGCCTTGAATTTCTGGTTCCAGGGATCCTCCTGCCTCAGCCTCCCAAGTGCTGTGACTACTGGCACACCACTGTGCTTTTTCTTTCTTTCTTTCTTTTTTAAACAAAAAAAGTATGTTATTTTAAAACCAAGACAGACTTCAGAAAACAAAGACTATGGTCACAGCTGCCTGCTCCTCTCCAGGACAAGATCATTACCGTTCTCCCCTGGTGGTCCTTGCCGACACCGTAGAGAAGAGCCGCACTGCTGGAGAAGCTGTGGACAGGACAAGGAAGTCAGCTGCACTTACCCCGCCCCCCAAAGCTGCCCAGAACCAGGTGAAGTCCTGTGCCCACCTAAGGGAGCAGACAGCACACATCGGGCTCCGGAAGAGGGACAAGCACCGTCCTGTCAGGAAGTCCCAGAGCCGTACCACGCTGGGGGGCTGCACTTGAGCCGAGGCCAACAGCAAGTTGTTCCCATCCAGCGCCAAGGCGGACACCTGGGGAGGCACAATGTGGAGAAGGGTGCGTGACCTACAGGTTCCCTCCCCATCAGGCACTGATGGCACTCACCTTGTCTGTGTGGCCAAGGACGAAACGCTGCTCTCCAGTGGAGATGTGCAACACGACGATGACTGCATGGCAGGGGTAAGCCACAGCTGCCCCATCCTTGGTCCACAGGGCCTGGTTCGTAAGGGCCGTGTCTAAGGTCACCAGCAGAACCTTCACCTCCTACTTAGCTGGGGGTTTGGGGTGAAAACCCAGCATACATGTGTGCACACCTTCCCTACGTCACAGGTACATAAGTTGATGGGACATGGCCACCAAGGGGATAGCTGACACATGCGCACATCTTCCAGACCCTGCCTCCAATCCCAGAAACTTGGTCTGGTTAGCAGGAGACCCGGCCCAGGGTCAGTGAGGTGCAGGAAGGAAATACTGCTTTCTCTAATAAGGGTTTTTCCTTAGAAGGCCCACCTCACCCACCACACTGTGCCTGTGCCCCACAAAGCTGGTCTGAATCACAGGGACCACCTTTGTGGTAGCTCTAAAGAAGTGAGTTAGAGGGGCCGGGGATTTAGCTCGGTGGTTCTGGCACCTGCCTCGCAAGCGCAAGGTCCCGAGTTCAATCCCCGGTACCAAAAAAAAAAAAAAAAGAAGTGAGTTAGAGGGCCAGGGGTTTCACCTCCTGCTGCACAAGCGCAAGGACCCGAGTTCAATTCCCAGAAGTGAGTCAGAGCTCTTGGGTCTTTGGAACACTTGAGCCCAGCTACTGCCTGTCAGGCTATGCCAAAGGAACAGGGGACACTTATGACCTTAGGCCCCCCATGTGCCCAGGAAAGGATTGAGCAGGTGAGGGCAAGACAGAGTCTGAGGACCAGAGGGAAGCCAGCAGAGTCTGCAGGGGGTAAAGGGACCCTGACACCAAGGTGGCTGGGAATCTGTCCCCCTCCACATATTCAACGCTAATACTGTGCCATGAGAACCATCCAAAGAGCCACTGGACCCTCACCCATTTGGTGCTGTGGCCCCCAAAGCCGATGATCCCCTTGAGCCTCAGTACTGGGTCTAGGAGGAAGTGCTAAAAGAGGAAAATACATAGTGAGATCCTAGAAGGGCACAGCCCCACCACAGGCTGCCTCTGCCCACCCCATGCTGTACTGCCTAGAGTGGAGCTGTGGCTCAGTGGTAAGCTCTTGCCAGTGTTCTAGGTCATTCTTATCAGAGGTTCTCTCATGGGAAGCTGGTTTCCTGATAATGCCAGACCCTCAAGGAACCCTATGTCCTGCCCCAAAAAGACCACATCAGGCTGGAGTATCCCTCAGAGTTGCAGAAACAAGCCCTTCTTTACTCTCTCAGAAGGGATTCTTGCCCCAAGCTACCTCTTAAAAGCTTTGATTTCTGCTGAGAGGCTATGTGAGAAGAGGTATTAGAGGCCTGTCTGTCCTGAAGGCAGCTCGGGGTGGGCCAGATGGGGCAGCCCTTCACCCTACCTTGCCCATCCTCATCCTGCCCTAGGATGGGGACTCACCTTTTGAGAGCCAGCATCCTTGAGGGCCACAGGCATGCCAGTAGACTTGTGGCCGGGCATGTGGCTGCCACTGACCACAGAGTGTACATCAGAGGTCTCCACCCAGGCTGAAGGATCTCGGCTACAGACACTGAGGCCACCTAGGCTGGACCCCTCTGAGTACATGCAGGACTGGCTGACTTCCGGAAGGAGCTTGGGTGCAGAGGAGGCTGGGAGAGACTGCAGGGGAACAAGTGTCCATCAGCACCCTGGGGTTGCCATTTCCTGGCCCTATCAGGGGGTACTCACAGTTGTGGGGCTGGGCATCTGGACCACAGGGGACACGCTGTACTGCATGGGCTTGCTGAGGGACACTAGGGGAGAAGGAAGCTGTGGCACAGGCTCCAGGGAGACTGTAATAGAGCAAAGAGCCCCAGTGACTGGCTAAGCAGAGCAGAGACACCCATGAGGGTGCTGCAGGGGTGGGAGACCAGGTGCTCTGCCTTGCTCCCTGCAGAAGCTACACCACAGCAACTGTTCATCATGCCACCCAGCCTTGTCCCGGTCACAGACAACCAACTAACTATCCAGACCATAGACCACCACAGAGCATAGACAGAGAATAGACAACCAACCAATTATCCAGTTCTAGTGCCTGTGTTTGTCCACAGGTGCCTCAGGTATTTGCCAGATGCAGGCCCCATACCGCCAGGTCCCCTTCCGGTCCTCCCTACTCCCAAGGAGCTCCTTGCACCCTGCAGGGCCACAGACCTACCTGCTGCAGGAGGGGAGCTGTTCTTCAGAACTGGCTCAGGAGGTACCTGTGGGTTGTCACTTGGAAACCTTGATGGATGGAGAGTCAGCATCTGGTGACTTGCCTTCCTGCCACCTTAGAGACTCCCTTGGGAGGGGCAGAGCCACTCACCGGATGTGAATGTAGTGGTCATGCCAGCTTTCCCCCTTTGGCACTGGGAAGGCCATTTCTCGAGGAACAGGGGTGATGGGCAGTTTTGTTCGCTGGGCCTCAGTTACAGTGACAGCTGTAAAGAGCAAGAGTTGCTCTAAGTCAGTTTAGCTACCTCCCTCCCCAACTTCTGCCTCCAGAGCCAGGGGCCCCACCCTCCAGTGACATCAAACCAGAACTCAAACAGCGCTCAGGCAGAGAATCTGGGATGGACATACAGACTGGAATAGGGTATGGCTCTCACCAGGATCAAAGCTCAGGTCACTGGTGTAGAGGTTCCTGACCAGCAGGTTGGCACACAACCTAACACTCTTGAGGTGGCCATAACACCGGCTCAGGTAGACTAGCAGGATATCATGCAAGTCAAGCTGCAGGCAGGTCCAGCGGGCACCCAGGGGGACCATCCCTGCCAGGTCTGCAAGACAGACCTCCACATCAGTGCCCATCTCCCTGAAGCCCCATTCCACAGCTGCCACATTGAGTCCTGCCTCCACCTGCCCATTGGATCACAGAAGCCCAACTGGTCCTGTACTACCCCACTCTGGCTAACAGCTGGCCTTCCTCAACCATGCAAGGCCCATTTCGGTGTCACCTCTCTTGGATGTCCTAGTCTCAAAGACAAAGGGGAATTGAAGCCACGTGGCTGAGGACTTGAACTCCTTGAAGAGATTGGAGAAAGACACTCGGATGACTTCGCTGTCCTGCAGGGGCAGAGCCACGTTGTGAGGAGGGAGTGGCAGGCATGTGGGTAGGAACACAGCCCCATCCCAAGGACCGCACCTGGGTGGCCACATCCAGATGGATGACAAAATGCTTGGTGGGCAGGGGCTGGAAGAGTACATATAGGTACCGTCCAGTTAGCCCCAGGGACTGGGTGCTGGTTCTGGAAAGCTGGATATAGTTACTGGCAGAGATAGAGCCCCGGATTTGATATACAGAGCTCTTCAGGGTCTTGTCCTGGAGAGAGAGCAGAGTGTAGGCAACAGTTGAGCAAGGAGCACCCAGATGCAGCGCCCATCCAGGGGAGAAAGTAATCAGTACTATCACCACAGCCACATCGCCCTCCTTGCTGGACCGCTTCCACTCGTCCACACTGAAGTATCTGAAGACGTTGAGGAACGGGTGCTGCCACGCTGCGGGAGTGGCATCGAGGCTGAAGGTCTGGCCCTGGGCACCGGCAGGGCACCAAGACCCACTGTCTTTACAAGCGTGGCCGCGGCCAGGGCGCACAGGCCTCTGAGGGACAGCGGCCAAGCAGGTGAACCTGACCGGGACTCTGACCTATGGCCGGGAAAGGGGTCCTGCACACCGTGGCTGCTGCCCCAAGGAGCCCTGAGACCCCTGACATCCCGGACTTCTGCCAACCCACCACGCGCCTGTACCTCTGGCCATGGCGCCCCAGCTCGCGCTTCCCGCCTCAGGTTGCAGCCAGCCACGCTCAGGGCACGCCACGCGTCGCTTAGCAACGGACGCCGGGCAACCGTCGCGTCACTTCCGGAGCCATGGCTGCGCCCGAGGCCCACGTGACGGCGCAGCCCTGGGACTCTCCCTCCCCTATCACTTCCTGGCGCCTCTGCGGCCATGCCCAAACTATAGATTCGGCTCTAGTTCGATCAGTCGTGAGACAGTTGGGAGGTCTTTGACCTTCTCTGGGATTATCTGTATGGGGCTGCACTTATTAGGGACCTTTTTCTATGTACGGAGGGAGAGGACTGAGGGCGAGGCCTGTCCACATTTGCACTAGCCCAGGCTGGACCTCATCCTATGGGGGCACTGGGTTACCCCTGCCCCTCATGCCAAGTAATGTCAGTCTTCCAAAGGCCTGCTGAGGCCAGTCTCCCCAGTAACCAAAGCTCCCACACTCGTGCCTACAGGTTCACCACACACCCCTGAGACCTGTGGAACATCTGTCTAGCGTCTCGTAGCCAGGTCTGCTGGCTTCAAGAGCTGGTATTCTAATACCAGCCCCCTGTCATGGGGGCTAAAATACTTGCACAGAGCCAGTTCTTTAACATCTCTAGGCTTGGAGGTGAAGCTCTGGCACATTGATGCCAACAGGAAAGGGGAAGGAGTGAGATGAGGTCTATAGACTGCCAAGCAAAATGAGCTCGCCATCTAACACCTTCCTCGGATGGACAGCTGGATAAGAAGCCAAAGGACAGAAGTGGGCAGAGCTATAGCCCACGCTGGCCCAAGAGTACCAGAGGGGACTCAGCTACAAGGGGAAGCTGGGCTGGGCCTGGAGTCCAGGGGTAGGGACTGGAACTGGGTAAGAAGAACCATACAACCCCATACAACCTCCAAAGCAAGGACATTCCAAGAGGGCAGTTTCTCAACTTTATTAGCCTGGAGCTCTTCCTTGCCAGCCCCAGGGGCTGGTCTCTGGGTACAGTGAGCAGGATTGAGGTCAGACAGGTTTGGCCCCTGGCCCCTGGCAGCTTGGAACAGCTGACCAAAAGGGAACAACAGGTGCAAAAGTCCAAATGCTGGCACTTCAGGTGTGGCTGGCACCCAGCCAGGCCGCATGGTGGATAGGGCAAACAGTCCTCCGTAGCAGCATTCATTCTCAGGCAGCCACTATGAACAGTTGGTGATTCTAGCCAGGAACTGCTGTGCCCACCATTCATCCAGGTCAATGGGCACAAAGTCTGTGGGCAAAGAAACAAAAGGCTGGGCAGTGATGTCACCTTCCAGACTGGTATCTCTACCCTCAAGCTGACCATAAGCCTCTCACCCGCACTCCAAGCATGCCTGGGGCACTGGGAAGAAGGTGGTTGGCTCAGGAGTCTCCTCCCCAATTCCCTAGGCCTGCAACCTGCCAGAGCCCAGTTCAGGGTCAGAGGGGCAGAGGGAAGATAGGAACATGGAAGAAGCTTCTCTGGAGGTACAGGATCTGGGGGAAGTTCCTGAGGAAATTGGGGTTGGGGGCTCACTCTGCAGCCGGGGATCAGGGGTCCTCTCCACATACTGCACAGGTTTTGGCCCACTCTCACCGGCTGGGCCACCATCCAGCTGTTGCTCCACCTGCTGCCAGGCTGTAGGGAAATGATGGTCAGGCTGAGCCAGGCCCTTGGCACCCCTCCCACCCGAGGGCCTAGTGGCCACCCTGGACTCCAGCCCAACACTGGGAGTAAACAGTCTGCTTGTTGGCCACAGGACAAATGGGCAGAGAGCTGGGTAGTCAGGCAGCAGTAGAGAAGAGGACCTGGAGCTAGCCCAGTCCACCTTACTGGGAACTAGCAGCCTGCACCACACCATCTGGCCCCTCACTACCTTCGGACACAAAGCGGACGTTCTCCTCGTGGGCCAGTGTGTAGGTCTCCTGGGTCCCCTCGAGGGATGGGGATGTGGCGAGGGGCCGCCGGCCATTCACTCGATTGAACACAAGCCTTGGCCCTTGACTGTGGAAGGGGGAGGATACAGACATGGTGGGTACTTATCCAAGCCCAGCTGCCACCAGGCTTGTTGCCTGGCAGTGTTGCCCACTGCTTCAGACCAGGCCCAGCATGGGTACTTTTTCCTCAACCATAGAGCACCTGCTCACACCAGCTGTAGCCCAAGGCCCCAGCAGCTCAGCTCATACCTGCAGCCCTCTCCAGAGGGAAGTGAGACTATAGGCCACTGAGGGGCTCCAGCTGTGTTCTAGACCTCTGGCAAGGCTAGACTTAGTGCCCCTCCACACTCCCCCTCACCCTCCATAACCCCAAGTTCTGACCTCAGCCATGACCAGATCTCTGTCCCAACCCCAGCTGCTTAGGCCCAGTTTCCACATCTATAGATGCTGCTCCATAGAGCTGACACCCCCAGCATGAGAAAACAGACGGAACAACGGGATGGCCTTTGCCCTTCCCTCTCCCCAGGTACCCCAGGCCCCAGGGGGATAAGCACTGAGTGCCAGGTGGTTCCCTGCATGGAAACAGTATGGCCACAACCCTGGCCCACTCCCCACAGACCCAAGACAGGAGGCAAAGTGAGTGAGATCCCCCTCCCCCCAGGGCACGGCACACTAGACATCAAGGGGCCAATGGATCTGTCCCAACTAAAAAGGCACAGGGCAGGGATGGGCTGCCCAGGCTGGCAGCAGTTGGCCGAGCCCTGCACTCAAGAAGCCCAGGGTGGGGCCTTAGAGGGAATGGGGCCGCACCTACAGCAGGAGGGGGAGCCGGAGTCCTGGGCTGCGCCTGCCACTCCACCAGGCACTCTCGGTCCCGGCCGGCCTGCTCGCTTTCCTGGGCTCAGGTGCCCCAGCGCCGCTCTGGGTTCCTCCTCAGATGAAAGGGGCACTAAAATAAAGAGGAGGGTCTTGAGGGGCGCAGGGTCCTGCCAGCCCCAGGGCTGGCAGGGTGTATTGGCCATAGAGAATCTTAAGATGTGCAGGGGGAAACCAGGAAGAGGGCACAGGCTACTCCCTGACCTGCTCACTCCCTGAGTTTCCCCATAAACCCCAGGGCATAAAGGGTTGTCCTCAGTTTAGGAATCTCTTCATGCCTGCAACCACCCCACTCTGAAAGAACTTCAAACTCCAGGAAAACCTGAAGACTGGACATCAGTTTTTTTTAACACAAGAGGAAACTGCCAGGCATAGTGGCACACATTCGAAATTCCAGTAGTCAGAAGGCTGAGGCAAGAGGATCGCTTTGAATTGGAATTCAAGGCCAGCCTGGAATACAAAGTTGAAGGCCAGCCTATGTCTCACTTACTACATAGTGAGACCTTGGCTCAACAAAATAAAACAAAACAAAAAAAACAAACAAGGAAATTACAGCCAAGGACTGTGAACTGCAAGGGGTCAAGGTGGTGGCCCTGGGGCTAGGATGGGGCCCTGCCCAGCCATACACACCGCCTGCCCCACCCCTGCAGTTATGTAAGGTCCAGTGAGGCTCTGTAGGGAAAAGGGCACCAGCCCCAGTGTGCACCTGTGGAGTCCAGCCAACTGTGTTCATTCCTGTGGAGGCTGCCCACAGGCAAGCTCCAGCCTGTGCTGCCAGCACAGACCTCTCATTTAACCTCTCCACCACCCCGACCAGAGACTAGATGCCCATTTTTCAGCCTAGGAATCCAGACTGGGGGAAGTGACCCACCTGTGTCACACAATGTCAGGGGGAAGCATCAGAATTCAGCAGCAAATCCATATTCCTGACTCAGCACCAGCCCCCAAGCCAGACTCCTGGATGGGTCCCTGCCTGCCTCACTGGGCTGTCCCTTCTTGCCCTTCAAGACTCATCCCATTGTCCCCCTCTCTGATGGTCCTTGCACACCCCCATGTACCCCTAAGGACAGGTGATCGAATGGTCCCATTTTATCATTTCATCTCTTCTGTCTGTTTCTCACCAGAAGGAACAATTTGTCAGAGGCACAGACCCAGCTGGCCTGTTCACCATTGTGGGCAGTGCACAGACCTGTGACCAGCCAGAATAGGAGCTGCTACATCTAGGTAGTCAGAAACTTTGGGCCTCTGCCATATACTAGCAGGAGTACAGGCAATGACCCTCACACCCTCTCCCCCCATAGCTGGTCAGAAAGAGGGATGTAAGTGGTAAAAGATGCTATGCAGAAGAAAAGGCAAGGTGGTGGGAAGTGTGGGGTGAGCAATTTTGGAGGGGAACCCTGAGAAGATGCAGGAGCAGGGTGAAGGCTCCATGTGGAGGACCCACAGCTGCCAGAAGGTCCCAGCTCACAGACTGGGGGCCCATTCCCCATTGACCTCAGACGGCATGGGGTCACTCATGTCCCAGTTGGCACACAACCCACCCTAGCCACAGCTCCTCGAGCCCAGCAGGACAGTGTCCCCAGCCTGGGGAGCTGATGGAGAAACTCAGGCATCTGCATCAGGAGTGGCCTGCTGAGGTCTTTTTTTTTTTCTTTTTTCAGTACCGGGGATTGAACTCAGGAGCTTGAACTTGCCAGGCAGGCATGGCGTCACTGAGCTACATCCCTGGCCCTGTTGAGTCCTTTATGGAGTATAGGAAGAACAGCCAGTGGGCCTGGGGGTGTCCCTTGAAGCCCTTCCCCACTTAAGAGTTCTGGGGAGTATTATTTTCCTCTCATTGACTCCACCTCCAACTCTGGTGCAGACCTGCCTTTGTGTCCCCAAGGGGGGCTTGCAGAGGAAAAGTTTCCCCAGGTAAGAAGTGGGTAGGTTATCCAGACACCCCAGCCCCAAGCTCTCTGCCTGAGTGACCATATGGTGGCTCAGACTTTTCTTCCTGGGAAGGCAGGGCAACCTTGAGGGCACAGGCCAGTGGTGGTGAACCTATGGCATGTGTGCTGCAGTAGGCTGTTTGTATCATTAAAAGCTCTAAAAGGTTCGACATCACTGGTAGGCTAAAGTTACCTAAGACTCCCAAGGATCCCCTCACTCCCCAGGACACTCCCCCTTCTCAGCACACTTCCTGGAATTGAACCCCAGGTGCCAGTGTGCCTTTCAATCATTCCTCTACTCCGAACCTGCCCCTAGTCCTCCTCCTAAAGTGTCTCAGATGGGCACGGGCAGGTAGTGCGTGGCTGGCTTCTCCTTCAGGGACACTGCCAGAAGACCTTGAGGGCCAGCACCCAGCCATGACTGCCCTGAACTCCTGGAGGCCGGCCTGGGGGTTGTCTGTTCTCAACTAGGAAAGACCCATTCCCACCTGTGCCCTTCTTTCTGGTATGTCCCACATGCCTCACCTGAGCCCGTTCACGCACCACCACCCCCATCACCCCCACAACCCGGGGCCTAAGCCAGGAGCCCAGGTCCAGCAAGGAGCAGGAACGAAGTTCACAGGCCCAGGAGAACCGTAAATTGAGCCAAAGAAGTAAAGGTTCCGCAACGGGGAACGGTGACCTCCAGGTCATAGTCCCTGCAGGCCAAAGTGACCAGGACAGAGTCTCCACGGGGCACCAGAAGATGGCTGGCGAGGGAAGGCAAAAGGCTGCAGACCCCAACGCGCCCCGGGTCTCTGCTGGCAAGAGGGGATGCACTGAGTTCCCGGGGGCGTCTAGGGTGAAGGGGAGGGGAGGGCAGGGCCCGGGGGCCACACGTAGTTCTTCAGGGACACAGCCAGGAGCCCTTGAGGGCCAGCGCCGGGTGGACTTCTTCAAACCTTGACCTTGGTTGACCCTAAAGGGTCCAAGCTTGCAGCCCGCGGTCGCCCGAAGCCCGCGTGGCCCCGCGTGGCCAGCAAGATCCATGCGCGCGCCGGGCCCAGCCCCCAGCCAGGTGGGACAGAAGCGCGCCCCGCCCCCTCCCCAAGGTCACCCCGCCGGCGCCCGCTTACCTCGCCAGGGGCCAGGGGCCAGCCCGCGGCGTCGAGGGCTGTGCCCGCGGGGGTGGTGAAGTCGGCGGCGGGGGTTGCCGGCATTTCAGGAGCTCGCCGAGCCTGCTCTCCACTTGCTGCTGCGTGGGACCTGTGGGCGCGTGAGGGGGAGCGTCAGCGCCGCAGGCCCCCGCCCCCTGCCTGGCCCGCGCCCGTGCCCACCCTGGCGCACCTGTGCGGCGCTGCGCGACCAGCTTGCTGGGCCCCTTGGTGATGGTGTACATCGTGCGCCGGCCGGCACCCAGGGCCGGCCCGTACCCACTCACCCACCCTCCCTCTCCGTTAGCTAGCACTCTGCAGCCCCGGGGACGCGGACCCTTTAAGTGCGGCGAACGGGGTGGAGCAGGGGGCGGGAGATTTGCACACGCCCCCTTCCCTTAAAGGGCCCTCACGCTTGAGCGGCACTAGGGCCCCGGCGCGCTGGGGGTGGGGGTGGGGTGGACGGGGTCGGGGATCACCAGCGGGGTCTCTACGCTGACCCAGGTGGAATTGTTGGTGGGTAGTGTACGGCTAGACAGTGGGAGGCAGTGGTTTTGCGGCCTCCGGATCTACACAGTCTTTAGGCAGGGTCCTTGAAGCGCGGGGACCTCACCCTTGACAGGTGAAGGGCGCTTTACTGGGTCCTGAGGGTCTCTGTTCTGGGTGGAAGGCTCTGTGCTGAGGTATCTTTGCTGTGGGGTCTTTGTGTTGGGACATCTTTGTGCTGGAGGGGTTTCTGTGCCAGGGAGTCTCTGTGCTTGGGGGGTATCTCTGTGCTAGATAGGTGTGCCACCACCCCTAGCTCTCCATTGTTTTGAACAAGCTAAAGGACAAAAGCCTCCTCTATCCAGCTGTGGCCCTGAGAGGGCAGAGTGGCTGCCTACATCCTAGAGTCCAGGCCTGAGCATGCCCCTTAGGAAGGGCCCTTCTCTGGCCACACTGACTGCCAGCTGGGCCCTTTCTGCCCAGTGCCTGTCCCCCCCCCCCGCTCCCCCATTAGCGCTAGAGCAGTGCTCTTTCAAGGCCAGGATGGTCTGTCTGTGGTCTGCCCTGGCCTCCCCTGGTGGCCTTGAGCAAGCTGCTCACTCACGCGTGGGGGAGGCAGGACAGGGTGCTGGGGGAGCCTACAGCTGGCATATGCTGTTCCCTGAGGGCCTGGGAAGAAAAAAGCTATTAGGTCATAGTGAGAGACAGCAGGGCAGGGGCCAGTGTGCAAGGCCTGGTGTGGGGAGTGCAGCTCTTGAGGTCCGACCTCTGTATAAAAAGTGTCCCCACAGCCAGGCATAGTGGTTGTGCCTGGCTTTAATCCCAGTACTCAGGAGGTTGAGGCAGGAGGATTGCCATGAGTTTGAGGCCAGCCTGAACTACTTAGAAAAAAGTGTCCCCACAGAAGGCTGGCCAGGATAACATGGAGTTGCCCAGGGCCCAGCCTTGCACAAATTTGCCTATGGACAGATGAGTTCAGTCTTTGCTTTAATTACTGGTGGCCAAACTATGAGGGCCAAATGTCCATCCCCAACAACAGGCCAGTTCTGAAGTCCAAAGCTGGGTTCAAACACCTTCAAAAGGGTTCCCAGGGAGAAGAGTGGGTAGACTGGCTCTGACAGGCTGGTGGGGTGAACAGATGGGGTGGGTGCGAGGTCCAGTGATCCCATGGCAGTGGGGAGCCAGGGGAGCAGAAGGAGGTAGGAGGAGTCTAGTTTCCCTGAGGGACCTTCTCAGCCTCACTGCTCCCAGACCCACCCTGGCCTGAGGTTAGCCTGAGAGCCTGGTGGGGCTCCTGTGGGAAGGGAGTCAGGAGAGCCAGCCTGGGCCCCTGCCACTGCCAAGATCTCAGCTTGGCTGCAGGGACGGTGGAGTGGGGCCCCAGCCATCCTGACGCAGGGCAGAGGGGACTGAGAGCTGAGGTTCTATCCAGTCTGGTAGTCTTCCCCAGACTGACACTGTCTTTGCCCCTGAAGTGCCTGCAGAGGCAGTTATTTTTTGCAGGCAGTATCATGTGGTCAGAGAGGTGGACAGCTGGACTGGAGGGACCCAGTCAGTGTACAGCATAAGAAAAGGCTTTCCCTCACAGACTCCAATCCTAATTTTTTTTTTTTTTTTGGTACCAGGGATTGAACTTGGTCTTTCCACTTGCGAGGCAGGGAGTGGAACCACTGAGCTAAATCCCCAGCCCCTGCAATCCTAATTTTAAAAGTACATTTTTCTCTTTTTTTTCATACCAGGAATCGAACTCAGGACCTTGTGCTGGCAAGGCAGGCATGGTGCCACTGAGCTAAATCCCTGGCCCCCTCTTTTTCAGTTTTTTGAGACAGGGTCTCAAAAGTTCAAGCTGGCCTTGGACTCACTATATACCCCCAGCTGGCTTCAAACTCCCTGCCTAAGCCTCTCCAGTGCTGGGATTACAGGCATGCACCACTATGCTGGGCTAATTTTTTTCCTCTTGAAAAATGAATCTATCAGGAGGCTGAGGCAGGAGGATCACAATGAGTTCAAGGCCAGCCTGGTAAACATAGCAAGACACTATCTCAAAAGCCAAAACAAAAAAACTGGATGTAGCAACACATACCTGTAATCTTGGCACTCAGAGGCTAAGGATCACTGTGAGTTTGAGGCTAGTTTGAATTCTGTAGCAAGACTTTGTCTCAAAAAAACAAAACAAGAGGACTGGGGGTTTAGCTCAGTGGTTCCGGCGCCTGGCTCGTAACCGCAAGGCCTGGAGTTCGATCCCCGGTACCAAAAAAGAAAAAAGTATGCAGAGAAAAAAACAAAACAAGAAAAGAAAAAGCCTCTAAATGTGATTCTAACATTTTATGTAAAAGAAGAAAGAAGCTCAAGTTTTCAGGCATCCTCAGTCAATCTTTGCATAAAATTCATGCCCTGACCAGCCCAGGCTCTGACAATAAGGAGTCTGTCCCCAAAATGCTGTGGCTAGGTACTCTAGAATCCATCACCCAGTTTCCTAGGGCCAGTTGGCCCACTTCTAAATCCAACCAACCTCCAGGAGGCTGAGACAGGAGGACCCAAGTGAGTTCATGACCACCCTTGGAAACTTAGCAACTTAGTGAGACCCTCTCTCAAGATATTAAAGACAGCTAAATTAGGTAGACATATTATAGGCAGCCAGACAGGGCTGGGCCCTTGAAGGAGTCAGCGCAGAAGATGAGAACACATCAAAAACTGGCTAGAGGGCCAGGGATTTAGCTCAGTGGTTCCGGCACCTGCCTTGCAAGCGCAAGGTCCGGAGTTGATCCCTGTATCAAAAACAAACAAAACAAAACAAAACACACAAAAAACAGAAAAACTGGCTGGAGGCACATCTGAGAATTAAAGTCACAATGGCCAGATTTACATAGTTCCTTAAGGAACCTTGTGATTATTGGTGCCACCCTTTTGAGATTTCCATATATATATATATATATATATATATGAAGCATCATCTCATTAGGGATGGGCCATCTTCTCCCACCCACTAAGACTAAGTAAGACTACTAAGACTAAAGATAAGCCTAAGACTATAGATTATTGACCAGCATTACTAATGTCATCCATATGCCCTTGATACTAATGGATCAATATTAGCTAAGTGGCTATACTTGTAATTGTATTGGTTGACTATAATTTGTTTTTGTTTTTGTTTTTTTGGTACTGAGGATCGAACTCGGGTTCTTGCACTTGCACAGCAGGTGGCGAAACCACTGAGCTAAATCCCTAGCCCTGGTTGACTATAATTTGACCCACATTGTACCCACCCATTTGACTTTGCTCTATAAAACTTCCTTAGAGAAGTGTGCTTGTTGGCAGCCCATTCGGGACCCCTCCTGTCTCTCAGGAGCTATTCCTGTTGCCCAATAAAATTTCCTATTCTTAATCTCCATTGTTCCTTAGCATTCATTCTTTGACCTTGAGGACCATTAACTTGGCATATCTGACATCTAGCAGGTTGGGAGTAACATATTTTTCCCCTTTATGAAAAATGCACATTTTTTTTTTTTTGGTACCAAACTCAGGACCTTGTACTTGTGAGGTGGGCATGGTGCCACTGAGCTAAATCCCTGGCCCAAAATTACACATTTTACACTTATGCCTTTTTTTTTTTGTACCGGGGATACTTGGGTCCTTGAGCTTGTGCAGCAGGTGGCAAAACCACTGAGCTAAATCCCCGGCCCCAAAATGACACAGTTTTAAAAACCTGGGTATGCAGTTCAGTGCAAAGGCCCTGGGTTCAATCTTCAGTACAAAAAAAAAAAAAAAAAGTATTCACCTGGAACCTCAGAAGGTGACCTTACTTGGAGTTGGAGTAAAAGTCTGTAAATATAATTAAGGCAAGAATTTTGAGATAAAACCATCTTGAATTAGGGTGACCCTAATCCAGTGGCTGGTGCCCTTCTAAGAAAAAAAGAGGGAGATCTGGACGCAGGGGAGGTTCTGTGGAAATGGGGGCAGAGATGAGTGATGTGGCCATGAACCAAAGGCCTTTGCAAGAAGCTGATACCTTCAAGAAAACAAATTTGTTCTAAACCACCAATTTTGGGGGTAATTTGTACAGTAGCCAAATAATCCCAGCACTTGGGAGGCTGAAGCAGGAGGATTGCTGAAAGTCTGAGGCCAGCCTGGGCTACAGAGTAAATACAAGGCCAGCCTAAATTACATAGTGAGACCCTGAGGTAGGAGATTAGGGCATGGCAAAAGCCAGCTGGGGTTTCGCTGTCTACTGCACGAGCAAGCGCAAGGACCCAAATTCAATCCCCGGTACAAAAAAACAAAACAAAACGAAAAAGCCAGCTGGGGAAGTAGGTGTGACCTGTTGATTACAGATCCCAGACACAGTCAGGGAACAGTTCCCAAAATCCTGCATGTGAGAGCAGGTATTTTTTGGTTTTGGTTTTGTTTTTTATTTTCTCTCATTGAACTCCGACCTTGCACTTGTAAGGCAGGTGTGGTACCACTGAACAAAATCCCTGGCCTGAGAGCAAGTTTTCAACAGGATGGCCTAGACCTGATGTCAGCCTGAGGCATGGGATCTCGGCACTGCCTCTCAGGACTGGAATGTAGGATGTAGCTTGTTTTGTTCAATTCTTTGTCCTATATGAGAAGAACCTGGAATCCAACTCTGTAGTCATTTTGGGGGGGGGGGTACTGGGGATTGAACTTGGGACCTTGCACTTTCCAGGCAGGAAGCGGAACCACTGAGCTAAATCCCCGGCTGGAATCCAACTCTGAAAGGACAGGTGAACAACCCCAAACCCGGTAATGTTTAGTTGATGAGCCACTTTTTTTTTTTTTGAAGCTACTCTACAACAACTCTGTCTCAAAAAACTAAACACAAAAACAAAACAGTGGCCACAAGAAATATACCAAGGAGAGTGGTGCTGGGTGAGGGATGGGAGGAGGCACTGTGGAGGCTTGGGAAGTAAGCCCATGGGCATCCACAGGCTTCAGTTGTCACTGGATGTCCAGAAGATTCTTGCTGCTGAGATAAGGAACCTAACCCACCCTTCTTATAAAGTAAGTTTGCAGGTTTGCTGACTCCCATCAAAGGAAAAGACTTTTGTAGTCAGTAAGAGGCACAGGAAAGGTTTATTAGGCAGAAATTCAAAAGTACATACTCAGAGAGAGTGGGCCCTCATGAGAGAAAGGCATCCCATGAGCTGGAGCTGGGTACATTTATTGGGTCTTATAGTGCATTTAAACTTCAGACCACAAAAGTTGGTCAAGCCTTTTTCCCTTCCAGGGAAACCACTCAAAAAATTCCTAAAGGTCTTAAAGGCACAAAAAGCCTGCATATAGCTGCGGATTTAGCTTAGTGGTCCCTTGAAAGCGCAAGGTCCTGAGTTTGATCCCCGGTACAAAAAAAAGAGCCTGCATATTGAGCTCTGGACCTGTCCTTTTCACCTGTAAATATTAGTGGGCAGCATATCTCAATTTCAAACACATATAAATGGCTTGCATTCTGATATAGTCTGCCAGATGGGTAAACTAATAGACAGTATGAATACATGTACTAGAGCACCCATCTTAAAGTACAATTTTATTTTTAAAAGTTACTTATTTCGGGCTGGGGATTTAACTCAGTGGTTCCAGTGCCTGCCTCACAAGAGCAAGGTCCCGAGTTCGATCCCCAGTACAAAAAAAAAAATCACTTATTTTGAGAGAGGCTCTCACTATGTAGTCCAGGCTGGCCTCAAACTCATGGCAATCCTCCTGCCTCAGCCTCCCAAGTCCTGGGATTATAGGCATATACGCCACTGGGCCCAGCTTAAAGTACAATTTTAAAATCCTAGTCTCCCTCTCTTTTTTGTTTTTTTGCTCATTTGAAAAATTTCGGGGCGGGGGGCGGGGATTTAGCTCAGTGGTTTCGCTGCCTGCTGCACAAGCTCAAGGACCCGAGTTTGATCCCCAGTACCAAAAAAAAAATTCTGGGGCCGGGGATTTAGCTCAGTGGTGCTAGGCCTGTCTCAAAAAGCATAAGGTCCTGAGTTCTATCCCCGGTATGGCAAAAAAAAATTTTTTTTTTCTTATATCCTACCTCACAATGAACAGTGGGCACAAAAGACAGGCTATGCCCTGCTGTTGGCTCTGGGCATGGTGAAGATGGCTGAGGAGGAGAGACATAGTAGGATCTGACCTCACTCATCAGACACTGGCCAGCACTTCCTGTAGGCCAGACCCTGAGATAACTGGGGGCAGGTGAGGAGAGAAAGTGCATCCAGAGAATGGGAACAGGACTACGGCCAATGTCAGGAGGTGCCACTGTGAGGTTAAAAGAACCCAAAAATCTGGAGTCCCTTGCACAGCACAGAATCCAGGACCTGCAGCTCCCATGTTGGAAAAGTGGCCCATGCCATGGTGCTTCCACCCAGTATTATATATAAGTCCCTCAAGAGGGGCATTTGGGAGCCAATTCACTCTCAGGAGCTGGCACTTCTGACCCCAATAATAATATGACCTCAACAAATTCAACCTTGGCTACTCATGGAGATGTTGTCCCTCTAGGTTCCAGACTGCTACTAGCACCTGACACACATGCTTTCCAGTGTGTCCTCAAACATGACCTCAGCTCAGCCATATCCACTGCTTCTCTGCCAGGGATTGACCTCAGTCAGTAACCAGGGCAGGTGTTTGGCCCACCTGGCATCTAGCCCAGAGTGGTGAACACTACAGATGAACATCAACCTGGGGTTACGTACTATTAAACAATGCTGTTTGCTGGCCACTGTGGACATCCCTTAAAGCAGCTTCATACAACAAGGGAGGAGGCAAGGAGATGATCTCAGGCTCCTCCACTCCATGCCCAAAGAATTCCAAGTGAAGTCTCGGGGTGAGGTACCCCTGGAATTCAGGTGGCCCTTGAGGGGGCTTGAAAGCCAAGTATGCATGTAGAAGGAGACACCCTCCCCTCTCCTGGACCATGACACATGGAAGATGCTCAGCTGAAAAAAACAGGAGAAAGTGATACAAAATGTTAGCCAGGTAAGCAAAGGCCAGGATGGGAAGCAGGGAAGCCCACTGCAGCGCACTACTCAGGGTCACAGCAAACACCGGACATCACTGGACTTGGCAGGACTGCCTGAGCAGAGGCCCACTCCTGGACTCACCTGAGGCCCTGAGTAGAAACCCCCCTGGTTTCTTGGGGGGCTGTTCTAAGTGGTTGCCCTACACCAGTGTCCCTTGGGGCCGTGACTGTTCCTGTCTGGTCTAGCCACACGCCCTGGCCACCTCGACTGATGCCCGACCTTGGTCATGCCCTCAACCACAGCCCCAGTCTGATATCCCAGATAGGGACCATCCTGGTCCTGGTCAGCGAGACACCCCTCTGTGGGGTAGGGCCTAAGCATTTTCTGGAAAGAGGCCCCTCTGAGACATGGACCCCGAGCTGACAAGCATCCTTGGGCCCTCCCACGTAGACTTCAGGGACCAATGACCCCTCCCACAGTCAATCCATCCACCCTTAAATTGGCGCAGTTTGTGTCAGTGTCACAAAGAAGCCCTGAACACCACCCATCACAGTCCTAGATCACAGAGCCCCTCTCCAACTACAAACGTCACAAAGCCACGCCCACACCTAGGGCGCGCCTTTCAGATCCTTATCGAGAGCCTCCTACCTGAGCCTTGCTCCTGTCGGCTTCCGAGTGCCCACGGTTGCCCTTGCTTTGCCCGGCACAGTATCGAATGAAGGCTGTCTTCAAACCCGTGTCCTCATCCTTGCACCTTCTCTTCAGCCGCGGGGCGACTCCGCGAGACCTCGGCACCACAGTGCCAGATGTAGCGCGGGTCCGACTTCCGGGGCGGTGACGAAGTATGAGCTTACCCGCCCGCGGCCCGCGTACATCACAGTTGCTAAGTCTTGTGTGCAGGTTAGCTTCCCAACAGCGCCGCTGGTGTAGTGGTATCATGCAAGATTCCCATTCTTGCGACCCGGGTTCGATTCCCGGGCGGCGCATATATTTTGACCTAATTTTTCCCATCTTCAAAAAGATTGCCGTCCAAACTTGGAAAAAAGACTTGAGACCCGAGGGATCGCCGGTTCCCAGAAGATACGAACGAAAACAAATGAGCTTTTCCGAAGGACGAACTCTGGATTCGCTGGCGCGCCTTGTGTGACAGGCCCCCTGAGCCCACTGGAGTTTGTAAACCAGGATCCCCCAAATCTCTCCCGGTCTGCTATCCAGTGCCAATTCCCATCCCTAGCTGCACTCTACCGCGGAGCCTTTAAGAGGCAGCGCGTGGGCTCCTGGGGGGGGAGTCGGCCTTTGGGCCACGGCGCGGCGGCAGACCCACAGCTCCCAGCGTGCCCTGCGGCGGAACCCGACCACAGCGCTGGCGCTCTCTGGAGGGTCCCGGCGGGACGGGCAAGTGACCGCTATGCTGGTAGCGGCAGCCGCAGAGCGAAACAAGGAGCCCATCCTGAGCGTTCTCCAGCAGTACGTGGATCCGGCCCAGCGCGGCGTCCGTGTGCTCGAGGTGGCCTCGGGCTCCGGGCAGCACGCCGCACACTTTGCGCAGGCCTTCCCATATGCCGAGTGGCAGCCATCCGACGTGGACCAGCGCTGCCTGGACAGGTGCGTCCACTGCCCAGCCCACGAGGGCGTGAGGGTAGGCCCAGGTCGAGGGTCGCGTGAGTAGATCTCTGCGGTCCCAGCCCACCGCCACCTCCCGCAGCATCGCAGCCACAACTCAGTCCTGGGGACTGTCAAATGTGAAGGCCCCTCTGTACCTGGACGTGACCTGGGAGTGGCAGCGGTGGGGCGGCATCCTGCCGCAGTCGCTGGACTTGCTGCTGTGCATCAACATGATCCACATCAGCCCCCTGAGTTGTACGGAGGTAGGTGACAGAGGTAGCCACCCCTTGCCCTATGTAGGGCCTCCCCAGCCCAGGGCTCTTCTGGGCTGGGGAAGGTGACTCGCTGCATTCTGCCTTCCATTCACCAGGGGCTCTTCAGAGGAGCAGGTCACCTGCTCAAGCCTAAGGCTGTGCTCATCACCTATGGGGTGAGTGGTTGTGCAAGGCCTTTTGAAGCCTTAGCTGGTTCCTTACTTATCCAGCTGGTCCTTGGCTTTTCCTTTCTTGGGGGTGGGAAGGAGTGTCCTTTTCATTCTGCAAGTCTGTCTCCCTGGCCTGCTGAGGAGTGATCCTGGGCCGGCAGGCTATGCCCACCCTGTCCCTGCAGCCCTACGCAGTCAATGGGAAGATCTCTCCCCAGAGCAACGTGGACTTTGACCTAACCCTCAGATGCAGGTCAGAACTGGGCAGGAAGGGTCCTGGCTCAGACAGAAGGTGGGATGGCTGCCCCTACCCCCAGCTATGACTTCATTTTTTCCCCCTACCATAGGAACCCAGAATGGGGGCTTCGGGACACAGCTTTCTTGGAAGATTTGGGCCAGGCCAGTGGCCTTGTCCTGGAGAAGATGGTAGGTAGGTCTGGGTCAGGTGGGGTGGTCTTCCTGGGGAAAAAGGGCCACTCTAGCAAAGCTTTTCTCCAGGTGGATATGCCAGCCAATAACAAGTGCCTGATTTTCCGGAAACAGTAGCCCCTTTTCTTCAGACTGGGTGCCTGCACCCCTGCCAAAGGTTCTGTTGGGCACAATCCAGACCCTGGCTCCTGCCTCCCTGGGCCAGGCTTTGGGAATGACCAGCCCCATCTAGTCTGGCCTGTCAAGAGTCTGGACCCAGTCTGCCTTGGAATAAAGTGTTGCTGTCCCCTTCTGGGTCTCCACCATGTCTCTTCCTGGGAGCACCTGGTTAGGGGTGTATGGGAGGGGTCTGGCCTGTTGGGGGGTCAGGCTTAGGGGTATCCTGGGCCTTGTTGTTGGAGAGAAGGACAGCTTCTGTCAGGGCACAGCTGGTCCCCACCTATGCTCCTGGAGACTCCAAGGCTGCAGGCAGTCACCAAGAATGAACTGGTGCTCTCTGGTGACCTGGTCAAAGACCCAGTTGGTATCAAGACCCCAGCTGGAGAACAGGCTGAGGGATAGAGAGACCTGGAAAGGTCAGGGTCCCTGACCAGGTCTACTAGGCATGAGCTCCAAGGACAAGAGGAGCCTTTATTCATTAGGAAGGTGAGGCGAAAGGGACAGTGGGCCTAGTCCTGGCAGGAGGAGGTAGGGAAGGGAGCTAGTCCCAAGTAGGAGAGGACAACAGAGCTAGTCCTGAAAGCGGCTGAGCAGCTCACAGGCCTTCTTCTCAAGCAGCTCTAAGATCTTCTTGACACGCTTTTCACTGGCAGCACGGACATAGCTGCTGGCATCCAGCATGGCCACACCATCATGCACTTCCCCCATGATGATCAGAGGCTCATCCCCAGCTGTCACATTGGGGCAGGGGCAGGCCCAATCCATGCCACTCAGTGTCACCTCCAGGTACCTGGTGCCCAGGAGTTTGAGGCCCATCTTGTCATCCTTGAGCACATCGTCAAGGGCCACTCGGGCAATGCCACCGCCCACCTCAGGCTCCTCTAGCACTTCAGTGAGGTGCCCCACGATGGCAAAGTCACTTCGACACAGGCTCAGCACCAGCTTGCTCCTGAGGCGGCATGCCTGACAGGGTGGTGAGCGAGGTACAGGGCAAGCCTCCTCGCAGCTCTCACGGCTATCAAAGTTATTGCTATTGCCCTCACAGCCACCATAGGCAAAGGGCTGGCACTGCTGTAACAGTGGATTGTAGGCCCAGCGAGGCTCCCAGCCCTGGCAAGGACCCTGCACAGCTGGCAGGGTGCAGGCATCTTTAGGGCCTTGGGCACAGGCCTGTTGGCATGCCTCATATGTTGTAAAGCCTTGAGTGGCCCCAGTACACTCAAAGACTGGAAAGGTCATGCAGCCACCCCGCTGTGGGTCAAAGTGCCAGAGAACACGGTGCGGGGAGGCTGAACCAGCACAGGCCTGCATGTCTGGCAGGCACTCAGCCAGGGCTGGGTTGTCTGAGGTCTCTTCCCTGTCTGGTTCCCTCTGGATTACAGAGACCGGGAAGTCAGCCTGCAGCAGGCCAGCAGCATTGCGTGCAGTGCAGGTATACAAGCCAGCATCCTCAGCCCGGGCATTGTAGAGTACCAGCTGTCCAATGCTTGTGACTACCACATTGCCATACATCTGGTCAGGGCGCATGATCAGGTTTTCCCGCTGGTGGCTCTGCTTCTCCCAGGTCACAGCGGGTGGCGGGCGGCCAGTGACATCGCAGTGAAGGCTGGCTGTGCCTCCAACATGCACTGCTTGTGGGAAGGGGCTGCTGTAAAGGGCAGGCGGCATTGGGGCAGCCCCAGATGTTGGGTGTGCAGTCGTCTCTGGAGGCCCTGGGCTGCTGGGTGGCCAGCTGAGGATGTGCTTGCAAGGCACAACATGCAGGTGGAGGCCATGCAGACAGGCCTCTGCATCCATGTAGCAGCGGTTATAGTAGGTGAGGCCATCGGAGGCACAGGTGAAGTTGGGCTCCTTCTCACAACGGTCACGGCAGCGGCACACAGGCTGCCCATCCCAGATGTCACAGTTGGAACCCTGCTGTGGGCATTCAAAGCCCTCACAGGAAGCTGCTGTCACAGGTGCAACTGGGCCACCATCAGGGAAGCGAGCTGCCACGCAGCTGTGCAGCCCACATACATTGGTGCAGCACTTCTCAGCAGCTGTGCAGTCCTGGGGGATGGGGCAGCTCAGCATGAGCCTGACATCCTCCAGCCTTCCCCCCCAGTCTTTGGCCTTGCTCCTATGGCAGGATGCATGTGGGGCAGGGTGACCCCTACTCTGCAGCCATAGTCAATGAATCCCTCTACCAAAATCTGTTTCCCCTCTGGAAAGCTGGGAAAGTGCTTTCTGTTCAGTATAATGAGCTGTGAGCAATCGAGTATGCCAATCCTGGGCTCAGAGGCAGGACAGTGGCAGGACAGCTCACTGGCAGAGGGCTAGTGTGCATAAGGCCCTGGATCCCATCTCCAGAATTTCATACACACATATAAGATAGGACATCTGACTGCACACTCCCCCCCACCCCGCCAGCTCCACTGTGCCCACCCCACAGAGCTCAGTGTTCCATGGATCCTGGGCGTGAGGGAAAGGTAGTGGCTCAGGCAGGGTGCTGTTTGAGGGGTAGGTCACAGGCCTGTGTCCACACACTGGTGCCAAAGCAGGGGAAGGATCAGGTCTGGGGGGACCAGGCAGCCCAGGGGAGTAGGGAAGGGGTCTCCTTTTTTTTTTTTTTGGTACCGGATATAGAACTCAGGTCCTTGCGCTTGTGCAGCAGGCGGCGAAACAACTGAGCTAAATCCCCAGCCCAGGGGTCTCATTCTTTAGACATGTGAGGACAAAGATAGGGTATCATCTAGGCCTCATACAGGGCATGGCCCAAAGCTTGACAAGAATGTGGAAAGCCCCAGGAGTAAATGACTAATGGGGTTGGAGTCCCCTCTAGGACAGGGCTGGGAGTGGGTCCCCAATGCTCACCTGGTCCCCAATGCACTCCCGCTCACAGGTGCTCTGGGCGTCCACCCACAGGCTGGGGCTCAGTTGGTTAGGGCACACTCCAGGGTGGCTTCCAGGCTCTGGCAGCAGACTGACCCCCGAAGTCAGCTGGACAATGAGGAAAAGAGGCAGGAACAGCAGGCGTAACTGCAGGGTGGGCATGTGGATCACAGGGCCAGGGGGCAGGGGTGTGTGGCCACCAGCCCCTCTTTGGGTCCCCTTGGAGCCCAGCTTCCTGCAGGCATCCACTCTTTGGGCCTGTAATCAGCTGGGCCTCCTTTGGGATGGCCCGCCCAATCTGATGACTCCCTCAGCTCCTTTGGCCTCTGCTGGAGCCCACGGCAGATCCTTAGGCAGATTCTTTCTCCTGACTCCACGGCAGGTGGGTTCTGGGATCTCCCAGAGCTCGTCGCCCATGCGGTGCCTGCTCCTCTCCCAGCCACTGTGGATGGCTCCCAGGCACCAGTCAGCACAGAGCAGAGTTAGAGAGGAGGGGAGGGGCCAGAGGCCCAGAAGCTCAGAGCCAGTGGCCAAGAGGGTCACCAAGAGGCGGAGAAGGGCAGCTCTGGCCGGAGAGGGGGAAAGAAGGGGATGCTGTAACCTGAGCCACTCCACAGGGCAGGGCACAGCCCAGCAGGGATCAAAGTCTCCTTAAAGACCCACCCCCTCAGCTCAGGGGGGGAGGGGCAGGGCAGGCAGAGCTTAGCTTTTGTCCCTGACCCCGTCTCCCATGCACAGTGGGTTCAGTTACACACCCCACCCCAACAGACTATTGGCCCAGGTTTCCCTTAAGTAAGGTCCAAGTTGGTGCCTGTCACCTGTGAATCCAGGTAAGGCAAAGGACTCCACCTTCAACCAGCAGATGATGAGGGTCTGTTTCCGGCTGCGACCTTTTCCATGACCCTTTCAGTGTCACAATTTCCCTGAAGGTTGAATCTAAAATCTGGGGGCGAGGCCCTGTGATGGGGTAGGGTGAGGGAAACACAGATGGACTTTGGATTCTCACAGACACCCCCTCCACTGAAATTGGGCCCTTGAGGGCCTCTCAGGCCCATCCTCAGCTGGGCAAGAGAGCAGGTCCCAGGGCTGGGGCACAGCACTTGCCTAGCATGCTTGGGGCCCAGTGTTGGATCCTTAGAAACACCAAAATAAAAAATGAGGCCCAGGCTCATCCTGGGTGGAAATGGATGGCCCATATGCATGCTGACCGCAGACGTGATCACGTAGTTAAGGGCATCTCAATGCACTCTGAAAAAAGCTAACGTCCTACAAGTCACTCAGTGACTGCAAGCACCCTGGAGTCTTTCACTGTCCTGACACCCACTCATAAGGACCAGCATCCACCCTCCAGCTGGACAAGATGCCCTTCTTCCACAGGGGAGGGGAGGGGAGGGAGCCAGACAGGCCCTCAGCTGAGATCAAACACCGCTGGCAGGACAAAAGACTGCCAGAATCTGCCCTTCCAAATCCTGTGGCTTCAGAGGTCTGGGGCCCCAGGGAGTTTTCTGAGACAGGATGGAGAATGTTCATGTGACCCTGTGCCTGACCTCCTGACCCAGGAGCCAGGGGCTGGTCTGGCCAGAATGGGACCAAAAGTTGGTCCCAAATACCAGGGTGGACAGCTGGGAGTGGCTCTGATAAGGAGAGATGGGGGGAGGCTAGGCCAGACCTAGCTTGAGGCCTGGAAGGAGCTCTCTGCAACCTGGCAACCTCCAGCTGGGAGTGAGGGGGATGCTGCTTGAGGCCCAGGATGCTCCTGAGGAACAGCACAGGTGGTACCTGAGCCAGAAGCTGTGTTTCCTAGTGTTTGGGGCCATATTCAAAGTGGAGAGTTCCCACCCCACTCAGCTCAGCTCCAGGACACCTCACATACTCCTGGCTAAGCAGGGCCTGGCAGAGCCTGCACTGTGGCAGATGCATTCCTGCAGAGGGTACCAGTTCCAGGGCCCAGCTATAAGGCATCCTTGAAGCTGTGGCAGGTTGTGGGGGATGGTCTGTCCTAGGTGGTCTGTCAGGGGCTCCTTGTGAGATGGGACTGCTCAGGCTGGTTCCTGTCCCCCAGAAAACAGTGTAGCTTATGACCAGGCCTGGGTGCCCCAGCCCACTCTCAACCCCTTGTAGCCAGAGGTGTAAGCCCAGCTGACAGCTTCAGGGACACAGGTGTCAGCAAAGCCCAGTTAGTCTAGGTCAGTGGACACTGGCGGCCTCAGCCCCAGCAGGTTTTAGATTCAGTTGCAGCTGAATACCATGGCCAGACACATGCCACCCACCATGGCCAAATAAAGCCAGAGCCCAAGGTACACAAAACCAAAGAGAGAGGTCACAGCTGAATTATATTTACTGTACAATGAAATAAGAACAGTTCAAAGAACCCAGGAATGATGGAATCCAACAGCAGCAGGGTAGTGTTCATACCGTGCACAAGGGACTATGCAGGTCCTCAAAACAAAGTCTGTGTGATTTTGTTCATGATTCCAAAGACAGGACCCTTGCTGGGAGCAGGTGGGTAGGGGAAAGGTAAAGTCCAGTGGGTGGGATGCCTCTGTCCAACCTGCTTGTGGTCAGCCTCAGGCCCAGGGAGCCATTGGTGTCAGGCAGCTCACACAGCCACAACCCTCTTCCTGGTGGCATGACTCACTTTACAGAACAGTATGCCATAGTGCTGTATTGTCCACCCACAGGAGAGCCATCTCAGGACACATGCACTATGAGGGTCCTGGGTGAGAGGGCCAAGGCCAGGGGAGGGCTCCTGCTGTGGCCATGGGCCATAGGGCAGGAAGAAGAGTTGAGCACCAGTGTAATGGAGGGCTTTGTCATCAGGGGAGTAGTCAGAGGGTGATGTCCTCATGGAGAGGTCTGCCCAGGGCACAAAGGAGTAGGTGCAGCACTGTAGAGGATTTGTCCATGGCTTCAAGATGGGCAAGATGACCAGACCCTGCTGTGTTCCAGCATAGGGGCTGGCAGATGGGTCTTTGAGAGGGCTTAGTGTCTATCTCTGCACCCCACAGAGCAGATGAGGCTGCTGTCCCAGGCTGTAACTCTAAGAAACAGGCCAAAGAAGTTCCAATGATATGTGAGCTCCTGGGCAGAAGGGCCATGTCAGGCAAGGAGCAGCTACAGGAACACAGCTGAGGTCCATGAGCACAAGGTGCCAAGAGCAAGAGGCTGGAAAGAGGTGTCCAGTGTCCCAGACACCACCAGAGGAGCGCAGGGTGTGGCCCCATCTTACAAGTCTGCAAACAGCTCTGCATTCTCAACCTGGAGGTGCTGATCTGAGTCTGTATAGTAAACATCACCGAAGTTGTCAAGTCACGGGTGGGAGGGACCTATAAAGTGGAAAAGATTGGGGTGTGCCCCACTTTCTCTCTCTCCTGAGTTGCAGGTGCTCCAATGTACAGGGATGACATCCACAGAGGGTTGGCAGGAGCTACATTCTTGCCTGTAGCACATTGACCACCCTGGTTAAAAATGAAGCTGGGGCCAAGATATCTGCCAGGAGCTTCTGGAGGGTGCCCTTGCCCATCTGTTCTCCCACTGGCTGCTATGTACCTCCCACACCCCAGGCAAAGTGTATACAAATCCAAAAAAATCCAGCTTTGCCCATTCTTTTCACCACTGCCATAAATCCCTCCTTCCCTAAACATGTGGAACTTGCCCCATGGTTGATGTGACCCTGTGCCCCACATGGTTGCATCCAGGCTTCCCTGACCGCCCTTTAAAATACAAAATGGGTGAAATGTTCTCTGTATAAATAAGATGGGATCTAGGGTCCTTCCTGGACCAATCCCAGGTAGCTGTGAAATCGGAGGTTGGTTCAGATCAGGGCCCTGTAGCACCAGCAGCCCAGCTGCCCACAGGCCCTTCTGGCAGTCTACAGAGCGTGTTCTCCTACACGCTCCTTCCCTCTACTCAGCTCAGGTGTGGAGGAAACCTGGCGCTTCCTAGGCAGGGCTGTGTGGCCAAGTCTTCATACACACAGTAGGGCCTACTGTCTGGTCAGGAGTGCCCCAGTGAGCCTCCCAGAGTCTGCACAGGTGATGCCCACTGGCTCTGCTAGGAGATCTTGCAGTTGCTTCGAGAGCAGTTCTGGGGAGGGCTCTGAGGGGGACGGATAGACTTGGAACGCTTAAGGCTGTTGCCTTTGCTGCTGCTGCCCCCAGCCCCGCTGGCCAGAGAGTAGGAACGGCCATGCATCATGACAGCATTCATGCCGTTTGCCATCGAGAAGGACTTGAGGTGGCTCTTGATAGTGACAGGCAGTGGAAGCTTGTCGATGAGATGCACAGGGGTGCAGGAGACGATGGCACGGCAGCAGAGATCCTGCAAGCTGAACACTGGGGGTGGGATGGGAGAGGGGTCAGAAAGGCAAGAAGGGAGGTGAGGTGGTCAACTAGCTCTTGCAGCCAGTCACTCTGCAGCCCCTCCTGTAGCTCTTTCTAGCCTGGCTGTACCCAGTAAGGTCTACAGGGTGCAGTGGGTCCTTCTTGTGGGCAAGACAGGCCCAGGAAACAACTGGGCTCTTCATGGCTCCTCTTGAGAAGGAGTTTAGATGTACTGCTCCCCCATGGCTTCATCTTAAGGTGACACTGTGACCACCCCTCTGCCCATAGCAGCGAGTCCTGCCAAGAAGCACCACAGCATCAATGTCCCCAGGCTCCATCTCCCTGAGAACAAGGCCATAGCTGGGGTTCTGATCAAGGACTTGTCAGAGAACATGGGACAGAACACTGCAAAGCTGCAAGCATGGCCTCTGCAACTGCCCAGCTGTGAGACTCCAGAGCAAAGGAGGACACACAGGTGCACGCAGAGCTCCAGCCCTCACTTCAGCAGGGGGCCAAAGAGATGATCAGCCTATTGCTCAAGGGCAGGTGAGGTGACTGCAACTCTTAAGGAGCCACCTTACTTTCACTCCCACAGTACACCCCACACCCTAAAGCCCACACCCTATCTTGCCAGCCCCACCTCGATTGGGCCTCCAGATCTTCTCCATCCCGTGCCGCATGAGCACGATGCGAGAGAGCTCCGTGAAGGACTCGATGACGTTGAAGTTGCACAGGGGGCTGACCTCAAAGAAGGTCATGCAGTTCTTCTCTGCATAGGCACGAGCCTGCTCTGTTGGCACTTGCCGCTTGAAGGCGAGGTGCAGCCGGTTCCCAACCAGGATCCGAGGAACCCCAGGTGCGTGCTGGGAGGGGGGCACAGAACTCAGCAGAGGCACAAAAGCTGTATACCCCCACCCCTCAGCCGTGGGCAGGTCCCTATATCTGCATTCCAGAATGGGGAAGGTCTAGGTGGTTTAGATGACCCAGGCTAGACAGCAGAGTCTGGGTGCTCTTCACTTGCCAAGCCTAACACCAGCTGTGACGCGGCTATGGCCAGCAGTTATGCCCAGGCCTAGCTCAGCTCACACCTTCCCCTGGAGGGGCGCAGACCTCAACCTACCTCATCGATCTCCTTGATCCATCGGTCAATGCCATCAAAGGACCAGCGGTTGGTAATGTCATATACCAGGAGGATGCCCTGCAAAGAAAGGCATACAGGTCACCCACAGGCATAGCTGGGCCTGGGATGCTGGGGGCGTGTTTCTCAGGTAGAAGGGCTCTCCATTCCTGGGTAGGGCCAGGAACAACAGCACTGCAGACTTCATGATCAGTAGCATCACAGGCAGATAGGAAATGTGCCTGCCACCCAATAGGAGGAGCATGGGGTGGGGACCTTCTGTGAGCGGGAATAGTCTGGCTCACAAATATGGCTCCCTCCTGAGGACTTGGGTGGACTTTTCAATTTCTTTTCTGCAGATGTAGCACAAACATTACTCTGAAATCATTCCAAAAAAATCACAGAAGGAATGGGGTGTGGTGGCATAACCTGGCCTTCCAGCTACTCAGGACAATGAGATGGGAGAATGAGAAGAAAGGATTGTGAGTTCTGGGCAACATGGTTGAACCTCATTTCAAAAAAGAAAAGAAAACAAAATCAAAGATGCTAAGCCACAAACATCAGGTCTGGGATGTGGGGGATGTGGGGGCCAGAGAGCTGCGGGATGGGAGCCTAGTATCTTCATAGTCAGTCCATCAACAAACTCTGCCCCAGGGACACCTACCTGGGGCAGAGGTGAGCTGAGGCATTTCTGAGTTTTCCAACCCAAAACTTGCAGAGCAGGATGTCAGTCTTTCTGAAGCCATTTTCATGAGGGCTCCTACCAGCCAGGCTGAACAGAATTTGCTATGGGGTCTTTCCTGCCATATCCCTTAGAGACCAATTACTTTAGAGTTCAGCTCTCAGCTGTTTCCATCTGCCCTGAATATCTCAGGAGTGATATCGGCATGGGCTCTCTACAGGCACCACTCAAAGCACACTGCTCACCACAGGAGGTTACACAACAATACTGCATGTTCATCTTTCATCCCATGATTCTGCTTTAAAAGAGGCTCAGGGATCTGAACCCATCCAGTGAGGCAGGACCACACCATTCCCTGTCCCACCAATCTTCATGTAGCAGAGGGCAATACAGAACAAAGAGGAAAGATCACCTCAGAATGAAGGGAGAGATAATCTGCATCGAAAAATTTGGACTCCTATTGCTTTTCCTTTTATTTTTTGTTTTGCAATGTTGGGGATGGAACCTAGGGACTTGCACATGCTAGGCAAACACTGTATCACTGGGCTGCGCCTGTAACCCAGTGCCTTTCCTCAAACACATACTTACATCTCTAGAAGACTTTGGTGTAGCCCTCAGGTACTGTTAAGACAAGGGTCAAAATTACTTGAACCCCAGCCTTGCAGTCCCTACCCTTTGGACGGTACAGTGGCTGGGGAGGAACCTCTCTAGCCTGGAGGGAAACCCCAAGGGCAGGCATCACTAAAGAACTGACAAACTTGAGACAGTTCGGCTGGTGGAAAATGATAAGACTGACTATAAACAAATGCATACCCAGGAGTAAGCACTGCTGCTTAGGGACAGGAACACAGCCTCTTATTTGCTGCTTAGGAGGGTAGGGTAGACAGAGGCACCAAAGGCCCAACACCACACCCTCCAATATGGCAATCTGTGTACCATGGGGATGCACATCTGTAGGGTGGTCTTTAGGCATATCCAGATTGATTTCTCAGGGTTGGGGGTGTAGCTTAATGGGATATCATTTGCCTAGTAGTCCAAACACTACAAACAAAACAAATGTCTACTCCTAGGAGACAACTGAGTAAATGAAGGTAGAACATATGTGTACAGACAATAAAAATAACACATATACTTCATAGTTATTGGTCACAGAAAGATGCCCAGTAAATCATGAGGTAAGAAATATAGGTCCCAGATATTATGTCCAGTATGATTTTCTTTTTTCTTTTTTTAATACAGAGTTTTGCTATGTAGTTCAGGCTGATCTTAACTCACCATTTAGCCCAGGCTGGCCTCAAACTTGTGGCGATCCTCCTGCCTTAGCCTCCCATGTGCTGGGATTACAGGGGTGCACCAATACACCTGGCCAGTAGATTTTTTAAATAATAAAAGCAAACATACAATGCATTGCACTGAAGGTTTACAGGACACACAACATAATGGCATAAGGTCGGGTGGTGGATGGATTATATTTCTTGCTTTTGTTTTTTTTGGTACCGGGGATCGAACTTGGGACCTTGCGCTTGTGAGGCAGGCGGCAGAACCACTGAGCTGAATCCCTGGCCCTCTTGCTTTTGATCCATATTTTCTGCAGTGACCATCATTCTTGTCACATTTGAGTAACTCATTTCTTTTTTTTTGGTACCAGGGATCGAACTCAGGACCTTGGGCTTGCGAAGCTGGTGCCAGAATCACTGAGCTAAATCCTTGGCCCTCTTGTCACATTTGAAACAAATGAGCAGAAGGCTCACCTGCTGCGCTGGAGGGCTAGACCCAGATCCTACCACCCCCAACTCCCCAAGCCCCAGTCGTTAGAAGCCCTGCCACCCTGCCTGGCCAGCACCAGCATTCCCAGCTCTGCAGGCCCTTTCTGCCCAAGTCCATTGAGTTGGGTTATGAGCAGAAGAGATAAGGTGGAAGGACATAAAGACAAATGCTAAATAGGGAGGGATGAAGGGGTTGAAGGGAGGGCAGAGGAAGGGGGAAAAATAAGAACCAAGAGAGATTATGTAAAGGTGCAAATTTTCAATGATGAATGTAATTATATTGTATACCTAAAATATACCAATAAAGTATATACAAATATTAAAAAAAAAAAAAGAAAAAGACAAATGCTAGTGCTGGTTATATTATAAGCAGAGGGAACAAAGTGATCATGGATTTGTCAGGGAAAACTATCTGGGATGAACCACAAAGCAGGATAGCTCAGATATCAAAATGTGGTTTGTTTTTTTACCAGGACTAGCCCCACAAGAATTCCACTATCAGGCTGGGGATTTAGCTCAGTGGCACCATGCCTGCCTCGAAAGTGCAAGGACCTGAGTTCGATCCCCAATACCAAAAAAAAAAAAAGGATTTCACTATCAACTGTGTGTCTCAAAGGGGCAGAACAAGGGACAAATACTCTTCTACCATATTCTGCCTCTTTAACAATAAAAGCAATACACACTTGCCGGGGATTTAGCTCAGTGGTTTCGCTGCCTGCTGCGCAAGCGCGAGGACCCGAGTTTGATCCCCTAGTACCAAAAAAAAAAGGAATACACACACACTTTTGAGTTTTTATTTTTGTTTTTTGGTGGTACTGGGAATTGAACCCAGGACCTTTGCACTGACCTCTACCCCCAGTCCTTTCTACTTTTTTTTTTGGTACAGGGGATTGAACTCAGGACCTTGCGCTTGCAAGGCAGGCATGGTGCCACTGGGCTAAATCCCTGGCTTTTTTTTTTTTTTTAAAGACAAGGCCTTAAGTTGCTAAAATGCCCAGGCTGGGTTCAAATTTATGATGTTCTTGCCTTAGCCTTTCAAGAGTGCTAGGATTACAGCCAGCTACATGCTCTGATTTTTAAACCTAATTAGTACTCTAAAGTATAAATAAATACAGGCTCTCCTCTCCTCCAGCTTCCCACTCCCATCCAGGAATAACCCTGGATAACATTTTTCATGTTTCCTACATGTCCCTACCCCATGCAGCTCAATTCCTACAAAGAACCTGGCACCAGGGCTCGTCCCACCTGAAGCTCAGATCCCGGCTCTTCCAATGGCTGACAGCACTACATAACAAGCTCATTAATTAATCTTGAGCAATCTTGCCTTACTGTTAACAAATGTCTGAGCACATACAGTATACATATTTTTTGTTTGACTTAACCTGTAGGACAAATTCCTAGAAGTAGTATAGCTAGACCTAAGGGAGGGTGCCCTTACTGTTAGGATTTTTAAATTTTTTTTTTTTTTTTTTTTTTTTTTGGTACCAGGGATCAAACTCAGGACCTTGCACTTGCGAGGCAGGTGGCAGAACCACTGAGCTAAATCCCTGGCCCAGATTTTTAAATTTTTTGTTTTGTTTCTGGTACTGGGGATCGAACTTGGGACATTGCACTTGTGAGGCAGGTGCCAGAACCACTGAGCTAAATCCCTGGCCCGGATTTTTAAATTTTTTGTTTTGTTTTGTTTTTTGGTACTGGAGACTGAACCTGGACCTTGCACTTGCGAGACAGGAGGCAGAACCACTGAGCTAAATCCCTGGCCCCGTTTTGTTTTCTGAGACAGGATCTTGCTATGTACTTTAGGCTGGCCTTGAACTCACTATGTAGCTGTCTTGTCACCAGGTTAGACTGAGTAGGTTCACCTGAAATTTGAGCAGCCTGAAGAAGAGACAGAGTCGTAGAAATGTCTGAACTTGCCTTTATTTTCAGCTGCTGAGCTCAGCTGAATGCAACTCACTGGCTGTTCTCAGGCCCCTAGCCCGCCCATTCTCACAGCAGTCCTCAGCCACTTAACAGTCTGCCAGCCCTTGTGGCAATCTACTTTTATAGCAAGATACATAATAGTGGCCATGTGCCAGTAATGGCCTTGGTTACATAAGTTACTTACACTGGTCAGCATCAATCTTGGTTATATCAATTATTTACAATGACATCAATAAGGTCTGCCTGCATTAAAATCTTGCTAATTGGTCTTAATGTCCACCAGACCCCTCTCTCCCCCTCGCCTGAACCAAAGTGTAGCTATCTTAGGCTTCATTTTTTCCTAAAATCCATCCCCCTTCAGGCTGTGGGATGTGATTTCTTAGTGGGTATGCAGGCCTATAGGGCTGAACTTTGTGTTCATATGCTATAACAGCAATACTAGAAGAACTCAGTATAGGCCATAATAGAGTCCCTTGTTCTTGTATGCTCATGCATATAGTTACCTTTGGGGGCCATGCTGGCATACTCATTCAGCTGGTCCAAGGCTGGCAGACAAATTAGCTTTCTAGCTCTTTGCAAATGTCTCATCTAGTCCCTTTTCCTGGGCCCAGACCTGAGCCCAGGCCTCTGGCATCCCTAAGAAGCTAAACACAGGGGCTTTTTCCTGTTGGGGTCTCTCACTCTGGACAGCACCTTATAGGGATGGAAAG